AAAGTAATTCATTTGTGTATCTGCTTTTGTGCCTTATTAGTTATTTTTCGGTCTCCTCAGCAGCCTCTCGGTTCAGCCTTTCCCTCCTCTGATCTCTTTCTTCTCCTCTCACAGTTAAAGCCCTCTCTCCCCTTGTCTTCCTCCCCCGCTCTGCTTCTTCCCCTCAGGCGTCTCTTCAGAGTTTTTGAGGAAAGAGCAGATTATTGGCAGTGAGATCATACCGCGGTACAGATCGAATGCATGCTGCCGGGCAGATTTTAAAAATGATGACAATGTTTTATATTTATATACATCATTATCGTGGTGCAGCACCGTCCCGCTAACCTCCATTTACTCCGAGCGTTTGGCTCGCTGCTGCAGGCTGAATTCACTGAGTCCAGACTGAAGAGAATGAAAAGTGAAGCCGGGGAGTTTGTATCTGGGTCAGAGGATGAACATATTCATCAGCAGCACATTCACATGAGAGGAGACTGAACAGAAGAAAAACAGCCGGTAGAAGAAGAAGAAGACATGACGTGCACATGCTGTTCATCTTTCACCTTAGGAGCTCAACTTTACCCCTTAAATGTAGCCCTAAATGTGCCCCTGTGCTCACGAGAATAATGCACTGTACTATAGTTCATATTATTAATTTAGTGGAAAGTGTCTTTGTGTTCCTGCCTCCGGCTTTCAGTGCCATGAGCAGAGCATGCTGGGAGCAGCAGGTCATCCAGGTGTTATCTAATGAAAGCGGTCAGGCTGCAGCCCGAGGAGCGTTACTGTTCAGACAGGGCGACCTTGATGCTACGCCTGGGGGCGGAGCTTCAGACCAAGCACGTCCACCTGGATCAGATTCAGCCCTGCAGAGGGCTGTTCACCTGAGGAGGGTCGAGGTCGTGAGGAGAAACTGATACCAGAGCAAAACTAAACTGTTAGCGTTTCCTGAGGCCTGATGGAGGAGTCTCACTGTCAGAGCAGCACCTCCGTGCAACAGATATCAGCCCTTAAATGTCACTTTTCTACTGATAAGCTGCGGGTACACTGTCAGTTCTGTCTCGGTACCTTTTGAAAACCAGCATAGAAGAAGTTGGGATAATTTCAGTGCCTGAAATGTCATGGCAGATAGCTTCTGTGGTCTGCATCTGCCAATAATTGGTGAGCTTTTCACCAATTATTGGCTGGGGAGCTGGCCACAGCTTGAACATTCAACCACTAACGTTCTACCCACTCCAAAATCCAAAACTGTTGAAATTATCATAGTGATGAAGGGTTGGAATCCCACTGGAAGCTTTTTGTGTGTGTGTGGAAAAAAGTAAATATATCCTTTTTTATGTCATATATTATAATAATATCAAGTGAAAGCTCTTGTTCTAATATAAGTGCCAAACAACAGTTTTAAGTTTTGGAAAGCAGATTCACCTCCATATACTTCAGTGGTTTGATCCACTGCTTGCCATTCCCTAACTCAGGGGTCAAACTCATGCTATGTCAGTGGTCATACTGAGTCCAATTTAGGGTACAACAGAATCATATCAGAATCAGAATCAGAGAGACTTTATTTACCCCCAAGGGGCAAACAGGATGGTAACCACCTGTAAAGTCACTGAATAATAATCCTGCCAGACTTCAGATACATTTCAGTAAGTATCCCAACTATTTACTAAACTATAAACTATCCACACATGCACTGCCATCTTCACACAGAGACAGATTTCTTTACAGTTTTCACACTTTGCAAAGCAAAACAATGAGCCATGCCCTGACTCTATTACTCTGCAATCTTAAAACAAAGGATGTGTGAGACATTTGATCTTTACTTCTGCATCTTTATGGAGGCAGGAGGTCTGTCTACACCACATTTTTACAAGTAAAATTGCTTTGGTGTTTATTTATGATAGAATATGTGATGTCTCAAGGCTTCTCTGTAACCCTATAGAGAAAAAAATCCTCGAAGCACCCGTGTTACTTTGCATGCTTCTTGTAGTGAAATCCTGGACACATCACATCATCATCACCCCTTTAGGCCTCGCTGCAATCGTAAAGAATATAAACACATGACATCAACCAGCAGCCTCACATGGGACACTGAGTTACTCAGACCTCGGACATGTAGCTCTGTACCACCACCTTCTGGGCAAAAGTATCACTGCGGCCAAAGTGGAAAAGGTTTTGTTACCTTAATTTATGTAAGAAGAAGAAGAAGAATACTAATAATAATATTACCTAGCTTATACTTCATTATACTCGTCCTCACATTAGCTGTAATTGAGTTGTAGCGGTGGGTTAGTGGAGCTAGTCCCCAAAAGTTGATTCTGTTCATCTGGACGTAGTGTTTTCAGTGGGAGAAACATTTAACCACTCATCCAAGTGACTTCTTCAGTCTCAGCTGACTGCAGGTTTCCCCAATCTTATAAACAGTACATTTGCATAATGACTGAAACCAATGGGCTGTGAGGTCAGTTCCTTGATCATTAATATGCAAATTCTCATAACCATTGATCAGCAACCACTTATCAAAGCCCACTGATCAATGGCCATGAGTAACATTCAGAGAGAGTTGGAGAATGGCTGCAAACACAGCATTATAAGATGGCGAAAGATGTACTCTTAGGCCCCCTCCTCGATTAAGAGATGGTCTTTCCCCTGTCCAGGATGTGCACATCCTCATCACTGAAAGAGTGTCCACTGGCCTGTAGGTGTGAATAGACTGCAGTGTCCTGGCCTGATGAGGTGGCTCTTCTGTGTTGTGTCATCCACTTCGCCAGAGGTTGTTTGGTTTCCCCGATGTATAAATCCTGGCAATCCTCCTGGCACTTCACAGCGTACACTGTGTTACTCTGTTTGTGTCGGGGACCCGATTCTTGGGGTGGACCAACTTTTGGCGCAGCGTGTTTTGGGGTTTAAAAGTCACAGAGACCCGGTGTTTAGAAAAAATGCAGCTCAACTGTTTTGCTTGGGCAGCGGTTGTCCTTCTCTCCTGGATCGGCTGGAGCTTTCTTTAGGTGCCTTCCCAGGCAGCTGGTTATCCCAGCTGACAAATGTCCAGCTGGGATAACCACATTTACTCAGGGCCTTCTTGATGTGCCATTCTTCTGCTTCCCTGGCCGCTGTGTCTGTGGGGATGGTGTTCGCTCTGTGTTATAGCATCCTGATGACACCCAGTTTGTGCTCCAGTGGATGATGGGAGTCAAACCTTAAATACTGAGCCGTATGTGTAGGTTTATGGTACACATCAGCTTTTAGATGTCCCCCATTACTGATAGAAATCCCACAGTCTAGGCTAGCCTGCCACTTTTCATATCCTCCCTGGTGAATTTGATGTGTTGGTCCACCGAGTTAATATGATTCGTGAATTGTGGTACGTTCTGAGATTTGATTTTCACCCAGGTGTCATCCACATACCTGAACCAATGACTTGGTGGTGTTCCAGGGTAGGATAGCAAAGCCCTCTTTTCCACTTCTTCCAAGAAGTACAAGTTGGCCACAATGGGTGAAACTGGGGAACCCATGGCACGCCTATGTTTCTGCCTGTAGTACGGACCCTTGTATGTGAAATAGGAGGAATTAAGACACCGTTCCAAAAGCGAACATCATCCTGTAATCTCTTACGAACTACCTCCACCGCTTCTGTGACTGGGATGCAAGTGAAGAGAGAGGTAACATTGTATGAGACCATGGTTTTATCTGCCTCCATAATGACATCTCACATTCTCAACACAATTCAAGGTGTTCTGGATGTGGTGTTCAGAGCTGCCGACCAACGGGTTGAGGATCGAAGCCAGAAACTTAGAGATGTTATAGGTGACAGAGTTGATCATACAGATAATCGGTCTTAAAGGAGGAGTTAGGTTAGCTGTTGATTCAAAATTGGCCATAGGAGTGAGTGCAAGTGGGTCTTTTTGTCTCTATGTGAGAATGGATGTAGGTGACTTTTATTGTGATTTGACACGACATAAATATAACCGGAGTCAAGTGAATATGGAAGATGTATTTGAAAAAATCAAGGATCTCTGATGGTGGGAAATGCTCTATAAATCATTAAAATCTGTTTTCTAACGTGTGAGACGAGTACATGGGTAAATAAACTCACTGTGGGCATGAATGCCATTGTTTGTTGGGGCTTTCTAAAAATTTTATTTATCATTTCTATTCATGGTAACAATAAATACAAGATAATTAGGGTAAAGGCAGGGGAGAGGATTAAACACAGAACAAAACAACAACAAAAACAAAAATAACAAAAACACTGTGGTTGTGAAGTATCTGCATGATTGAGGAATTGAGGAATTTCATTGATTAACGAAATTCAGTTCAATTTTCCATCCATCCATCTTCATCCGCTTTATCCGAGGCCGGGTCGCGGGGGCAGCAGCCTAAGCAAAGAGGTCCAGACCTCCCTCTGTGTGTGTGTGCCAGTTCAATTTTTTCAATTAAATTTTATTTATATAGCGCCAAACCACAACGACAGACGCCTCAAGGAGCTTTATATTGTAAGGTAGACCTCACAATAATACATACAGAGAAAAAAAAACCCACAATCATATGACCCCCTATGAGCAAGCACTGTGGCAACAGTGGGAAGGAAAAACTCCCTTTTCACAGGAAGAAACCTCCGGCAGAACCAGGCTCAGGGAGGGGCGGGGCCATCTGCTGCGACCGGTTGGGGTGAGAGAAGGAAGACAGGATAAAGACATGCTGTGGAAGAGAGACAGAGGTTAATAACAGATATGATTCAGTGCAGAGAGGTCTGTTAACACGTAGTGAGTGAGAAAGGTGACTGAAGAAGAAATACTCAATGCATCATGGGAATCGGGGAGTTTTTAGGACATGCTGATAATAATGAATTACAGTAGTCCAGCCTAGAAGTAATAAATGCATGAACTAGTTTTTCAGTATCACTCTCAAACAGGATATTTCTAATTTTAGAGATATTGTGCAAATGGAAGAAAGCAGTCTTACATATTTGTTTAATATGTGCATTGAAAAACGTATACTAGTTTTATACTAGTTTTTTATGTTGTGTTTTTATTATTATTATTATTATTATTATTATTATTATTATTATTATAGGACACAATAAAAGTTGAATGTTGTATTGGTACTGACCAATGATTTTAGGAATTTAAAACTCAGCAGTCTTGAAAGTCTAAGTTTAGTCATAATAATTTTATGCTAATTACTTAATTGTAACAAAAAAAGTTACCTTTATTTTATTTTTTGCTTGAATGCATCATCACTCAAATTACAGAAAGAGTTTTAGTTTTAAGTCAATATAATTTTGAGTATGAATATAAATCTTTGGGGTCACAAACCTGGAAAGTTACACTTTAAAAAATTGTGTAACATCTCTGTCCATAAACAATGGCTCAAATATTCAGAAAGAATAATTGAGTTTAAAAGTTTAGGTCAGGGCCTGAGCTCCAAACCTGGACCAAACTTCTCAGATGTGATAAAGCTCTGCCCCTGAACACATTTCAATTGTAATATTTTAAAATAGTGACGGCACCACCTAGTGGGAACAGATGAAATGTCACGTTTTAACCTTTGGGCTTCACTTTGGGCTACAGTTTCAAGGTGGCTGACTCAGGCAACCTCAAATTTGTCCAGGACAGGCTTAAGGAGTTGGTCTTTGGGTGCTTTGAAAACTGTCAGTTTTTGTCAAAAGCCGCAGTGAATTTTAATGTTTCCCCACAAGGCACCAAATTGATGTAACTCAAAGACATGTTTTCCAGTCTCTCCCAAACTTCACAGGCAGGATGAGAGTCTCACCCTGGTATGCCCATTGTCAGCAATAGTTAAAGCGCCACCTAGTGGCAACAGAAAATGTCAGGTTTTATTTTTCTACAGGGATTTCATCAGAGCAACATGATCTTTAGTGAGTGTGATCTTTGGTGATGTTAAATTGCAACGCTTTTGAGTTTATGTTAAAGGGCGCGGTCGTGGCAGCATGCCAACTTTCGAATATTCGCCACAAGACAGGATATTGTGTATCTCAGCTGTACATTGTCCAGTCTGGAGAAATCTACGTGGCAGTATTAGGTCACACTTGTGTTGCCACCTAGTGGACACAGAAATTTCATCCAATCTAGCTGAAATTTTAATTGGCGGTTCCAATTTATTGAAGTTTTTTTTTAATCATTAACAATGTATGCTGCATGATCATTCCAGCCTGAAAAATGAACAATTTAAAGAAATCATTAAAAGTCCATGATATTCACACCCTTGACATGTGTGTGAGCTTCCAGCTACAAGTGTACACATTTGCAGATCTGATTCACTGGAGAAAACTTCAAAATAACACTCTTTGCTAAACTTTGATGGTTCGTATCTCAGTGTGGAACAGGTGACTGCTCAAAACAAATTTGAGCATATGAAAGGTTTCCATTTTACCCACCAGGCTGATCCATTCTGGGTCAAAATCACTTTCTAATTATTAAAAAGGATGCTTGAATTTGTTTGTTTTGTAGTTTCTATGTTTGATTTTTTTGTACTGCAAGACATTAAGACGGCTGTCGGGACAATCCTGCTGTCTGCTGGGCTGACCCGCCGAGCTAAGCAGGGGCAGGGGAGAAAATAAAATCTCCCACAGTAACAATGTAAAGATAGTCTTCCATGTTGGAAAAAAAAAAGTAGGACTTTCAAACATCAGGAACACCACATTCTGGGTTTGGATCTTGTAGTCTTCCATCATGGGAATGACTGCAAACATCTACAAAGGTGGAAAATCCCTCCACACCAAACATGAACCGAGTCCCTGGATCTAGGAGGAGATTTGGATCCGTTTCATTTTCTGATATTTTCATGGGAACATGAAGACGATCTCTGCTGGTTTTTCTTTTATTCACTTTAATTTCATTGGTGATGACACAACAACGGCCGAGCTTCACTTCTGCTAATTTCATGCAAAACCAGTCACATGACCTCCTCAGTGAAGGAAGCACAAAGAGCCAAAGAAGCTGCTCGTATGGCTTCAGTTTATTGCACATCAGCAGTAACAAGCAGTGTTTTTGCATCTCAAGAAACACTGAAAAATGTAAAGCTGCTTTTGCAGCAAATGTACTTCAATCAGCCTTTAAGTAAAAAACAAAACTCTGAAAACAAAAGCAGAGAAGCTCAAGTGAGTTAATTTCATACTGTCAAATTGTATTTCCATATTAAACAGCAGAATGTTTAATGGGGATCTATCCAGCACATTTCCAGCATTGTGTTTTTAATTCATAAACTCTCAGAGCAGCTTTGCATGAGTCACAGTTCAAAATAATCTCTTTTTTTTGATACCGGGTTTTCAGTTCATCCTCTGTCTGAAATGAGGCGTTTTAGCCTCTCCAACTTTGAGCCGTCTTTCTTTCTGATTAGCTGGGTATTGCTTCTGTGCCCAACAGGACCATATCAGGATATCATCTCTCTATGACATCATACAGATCAAAGAGTACAAAAAAAGGGTTTATTTTCCTGATGAATTTGGTTTACCAACTTTTTTTCCTCTTTCATTTGCAAAACTCAAAACCTAAAGGCTCAGATCGATTCTCCTAACGATCTACCTCAGATGCCTCTGAACATCATGGTTCATAACGGCCTCGGCTCTCACCTTTGAGCTTCGACACCGTGGGCACTTCAGATGAAAACTGCTCAGTTGTGGCTGCAGACCCAGCTCTCCTCACTGGGATGATCCTCCTAGAGAAATTCCAGAAAATCCAGAGATGACGATCTCACCTCAGCTTACGTGGTAACACCTCGTATATGTGACAGAACATAAAAAGCACTCTTTAAAGGAATAGTTCAACAGTTTTCTTTTTTTTTTTCTGAGAGGGGGGGGGGCATAACTGTGCTTTGTTTTCCTCAGAGTGACAAGAACCATCAGTCTGTGTGCATCAAGTATGAAGAGCTGTTGGCTCTTGAAACCAAACCAAAACTTAAAGCTTTAAAAAGTCATTTAAGTGCAGCCCGAGCTCTAGAAAACAAAGACAAAAACAGAAAGATGTGTGAATATTTGTGTCCTTCAGTTCAGCAGCAGATGAAACTTCTCCACTCCGCCTCACTCCATGCCTTTCAAACTGTGGTAGATGTGTTTCGGCAAAATCACATATCCTTCACTGAAGCCCGGCTCCGGCGCCGACTGACGGGCCATCCTGGGTGCCGCCTCCCGGGCGGTCTTCAGCCTCTTGAGCTGCCTCTCCTGCCGCCGACACTTCTGCTGCGTCGTCTTCAGCTTCTTCCTCAGATGTTCCACCTGCTCCTCCAGCAGCTCGATGCGCCTCTTCTGCTGCGCCGAGTCCTCTACCGTGTAGTTGTGGTCGCAGGAGACCGCCGTCGTCGTTGAGGTCGTTGTCATCGCGACGCTGCAGGTGTCAAGCGGGTTGCTCTCAGGCTCCTCCTCCTCCGCTGGTTCAGAGGTCAGAGGCAGAGAAAGCGGGAAGAGGTTCTCAGATGGGAAGGGATCCTCCAGGGACTCTGACTGCTAGAGAGAAAAACACGAGTTAACTAATTGCTACCTAACTGAAGTTAACCTGATCTACTTATCTAGCTTACCTAAACTATCTGCTTAATTTGAGCTGTCTCTCAGATCTGTGCTCTTATCTTGAAATAAAGAAATGTGACTGGAAACTCTTGGGAGACTCCTGGAAAAATAAAGCCCTGCCGGCTTTAGTTAGGTCACCTTGATGCTGAGGTTGAAGGTGAACAGCGACGGCACAGCGCTCTCCTTCAGCACACGGTTGTTGCACTCCCTCTTGAAGGAGTCTTCGGTGAAGTGCTGGGAGCAGATGTTGCTGTACTTTGTTGGCTTGAAGTTGTTTCTCCTCATCGCAGCCACCCATTTACAGCAGATATCTGGACGGGCCAGAGGAAACCTGGCAAACAAGTGATAATAATAATACACAGAAACGTCAAAACGCTTCTGTATGATTTGGGAATTATTTTCTGTTATCAGTTTAATGTAATAATTAGTTTAAGTTGCTTATGAAGTACACTTTATGTCTTTGGTAAAAAACAGAACAAAAAAAACAAAACAAAACTGAAGCGTTAACCCTTTCTGTTACTTGTTTTGAGACTAAAGTTGGGGACTAAAGAAATGCGCATTAACTCCCGGCAGTAAGCATAAACACATTAATCCAAACTCCAGTTAAATTTGGAGGAATTCACTATCCCCTTATTTACGGAAAGTCAAACATATTTAAGAATATAACTGCAAGACTTTATAAGTAAATGTGTTCCGTGCTGATAACTTCGGCTTGCAAAAAAGCGAAATAGCCGTAAAGTTCTAGTAATATCTAAATTTTTGTGCCTCGGTATAGCCACTATAGAGAAACTTGTGACTTTAGACTTGATAAAAACATTTGATTTCATCAAATAAAAATAGCATCTGTTGACTTTTATGTAGCCGGATTTTAGCAATGAAACCTGCAAACACGTAAAATGTTCCGTGTCCTACTCCACATGTTTCGTACTGTTGAGGAAGAGCAGTTAATCTTTAATGAGGCAGATTAGTGAACGCAGGCTGGTGGACGTTGCTCAACCACCATGTCAGGACTGCTAATGCTACCCAGCTCGCTGAAACACACAGACACACATTGGCACTTAACTTACTTGTGGAAAGAAATCTCTTTGTCTTTGTGGTAGCGGTTCTTACAGCCGTACGCTGAGCACGTCTGAACCATGGCTGAATATCCAGACAACACTCACTCACAGCCGGACCAGAACTCCACGAAGCTCCGCTGGTGCTTCTTGTCACCCTCCACACAAGCTTCACTGCCACTAACAATGATGGCGGCGAAGAATTAGTCACCTGATCGGCATCCCTGCCTCTAATTGGTGGAGCTTTCTGTCGTTACTTTCCTATAATATCTCAAGAAGTCCACCAGGGGGAGACAAATTTGATAAAGAACATCAATTATATATATATATATGCACCCTATTTTTTTATGAGCCTTAATTTAAATACTAATATATATACACACATATATATATACACACACACATATATACACACACACATACACACATATATATATATACACGCACACATATATACACACACACATATATACACACACACATATATACACACATACATATATATATATATATATATATATGCAAGCAAGCAAGCAATTTATATAGCACTTTGAAAACAACTCTCAGCTGAAAACAAACACATGACATAATAAATTACAATAGTGAAATAGTATATGTAAGAAAATAAAAAATAAAAAACAATAAAAAGTAAATAAATGCAAATTTAATTAAACTAAAACATACAAAAAGTCCGCATCAGACTGTGTCATAAGCCAGGGAGTGAAAGTGTGTATTAAGATGGGCTTTAAAGGTGGACAATGATAGAGCCTCTCTTATGTGCTGAGGCAAATTGTTCCAGAGGTTTGGAGCAACAATAGAGAAGGCCCTGCTCCCTCTGAGCTTCCTCTTAAACCTGGGTACCTCCAGGAGCAGCTTGTCAGCTGACCTGAGAGACCTAGGAGGGGAATAAGCACGAAGAAGCTCACAGAGATAAGTTGGGGCAAGACCATTTAAAGATATAAAAACAAACATTAAAATTTTACAATGAACAGGCAGCCAGTGGAGTGAAGCCAGGATAGAAGTTATATGCTCTCTCTTATGGGTTCTGGTTAAAAGTCATGCAGCAGCATTTTGGTCCAGCTGCAGTCGAGAGAGAAGACACTGACTAACTCCAAAATACAGTGCATTACAGTAATCCAAACGAGATGAAATAAAAGCATGGATTACTGTTTCAAAATGTGGCCGAGATAAAATAGGTCTTAGCTTTGCCAATCACCTTAGGTGATAAAAAGTGGACTTGACAGTAGCCCTAATTTGAGTGTTCAATTTAAAATCACTATCCATCTTAAAACCCAAGTTAGTGACAACAGGTTTAAAATACTCTGCCAGGGGTCCCAAATCAATAGTGGAGGGGTAACAAGGTCCACTAGGACCAAACACAATCACCTCAGTTTTGCTTGAATTGAGTCTTAGAAAATTTTGGGCCATCCAAGTTTTAATATCATCTAGACATGTCAAAAGTGGTTGAATGGAGGAGGCATCTTTCTGTTCCAGAGGCAAATAAATCTGGCAGTCGTCAGCATAGCAGTGGAAGGCTATTCCATGCCTTCTAAGGATGGTACCCAAGGGCTGCAAGTATAATGCAAAAAGCAAAGGCCCTAAAACTGAGCCCTGTGGGACCCCCAAACTGAAAAGTGGCAGAAAAGGACTCATACCCTAAAAAATTAACTAGATAGATAGGTAGGTAGGTAGATAAATTATATTTACATCTATCTATCTATCTATCTATTTTTTATGAGCCTTAATTTAAATACTACATTTAAAATCAAATCAAGTCTTTTTATTTCACTAGCACATTTTGAAATAAAAGAAGCTGACACAAAGTGCTAATTTCAATTATTTTCTGTTCAGTATAGAATAAATGTGAAGGACTATAAAATATTAGAAAAAACACAATTTAAGTACATTTTACCAAATTAAATATCAATTTTGTATTATAATTTTTCATTATTATTTTAACTGCTGTAACAAAAGAATTTCACAAATATAGGATAGTGCATTTGTCCTCTTTTATTTATTATTGCAGAAATTACCATAAGACGTAATGTTTTATTTCATAGCACAGACCTGTAGATTCATGCATTATGTGTTAGATAAATAAAGACTTTCAACACATAATCTCTTGGTCAAAAAAGAAGAAACTTTATTATTAAAACAGGTATTTTCAACACCGTGAGTTGGTCTAAAGAGCTTTATACAGCAACAAAAGACCAGGAATACACTGGAAACAGGTAAATACACAGCACTGATAAGTACCTATAATGTGTGTGTATTATCACTACACTGTATACCATACTGAGTCCTTATCTCAAAAGAAACAAGAGTCACAAGGCTCTCAAACAGTCTGTGGGTTCAACTTTAGCAGCTGGAAACTCAACTTAAAAACATTCAGAGTTTCTCACCAACTTTGACGGAGGCTGCTGAGGTTCAGACACATCATGTGTTTTTTCCTATTATTACGATTGCACATGAATGCAGCTTTACAAACAGGAGAAGCAAGGATTTAAGAAGAAGGATGGAAAGAGAAATTTCTCATCATTTGTCCATTTTTGTTTTAGCACATGCCTGTGGCCTTTAGAAGACTTTACAAAGGAAGAAATAAATAGAAAAATACAAAATAGTTTTGGGATAATTCACCCACATTTCTATGTACAGGAACCCCCCACCAAAAAAAATGAACCAGGTGGGATCATTTGATTTTTGCAAACAAAATTTAGTGATGGAGAAATGTCCATAATTTCAGATCAAACATAGTCAAAAATCAAAGAAGTTTTACTTTATTTTACACAGTTAGAATCTTATTTTGATAGTTCTGTCCATACTTCCTGTCAGTTGTATGAAATTCACTGCCACAGTCGTCACGTTTCTTTAAACAATGCACAAACATATCAACAGGTCACCGGAGTGATCCAGTAGCTGTTGGACTACAGGTTAAAATCCTGGACGAGCACCATGTGCTATCTGTCAAAAAGCCCAAAAAAGCCTATTTTAAACAAGGACACTAAAAATTAAAGGTCATGACTTTTCAACTGTCAGCTCTAAGAGAAATTGTAAGAAAAGGAAGGAAAAAAAAAAAAGTATTTTACACAACTTTTATAATGCACCCCTACCATCATAAGGTGACGCCAAAAGCCTGTTTGATGACTATGACTAAGCACATGTTACTAATTACTTAGTGTTGAATTGTATGGCAAAAAGCTACCATAAAGTTGAGTGTACCAGTCTTAAAATAGTAAATACACAGCAACAAGTGACCACTGAGAGGTACAGGTAACATGTCATCACAACCAGTCTTGGTCATTTGAAAGTTGTTTGGGTTTAAACAGCTGCCACTGAATATCGCATAATACTTCTGATTTAAATGCAGTAAGTTCTGCCAAACTGATAATTGGCAGTTTAGCACACAAATATGATGATAAGCCCAATCGATCATCAGAAGATGTATGTGAGATTTATCAAAGAATTCCAGATGTACCAGAAAGTAGCATAAGAACAACCTCATTGACTTCTTACATCACAACGAGCTCATATATTTGGGCCTTTTAAACACTGGTAATCTAACAACAACAACAACAGAGTGCCAACTTAAACATTCATGATGACATACCAAGTGATGACCCCCTGGTAACTCCAGGAAGCGAGTGCTCAAATGCCAAAATTGCAGTTCCTCTAATGTCCACTTGAGGCTTCAAAAGCAAGTTAATCTCCCCCATATCTCATGTTAAATGCCCAATTTTACAGTAGAAATAAACATGTTTTGGAGTCTGATACAAGAAAACTGTTTCAGTATCTGTCGAGTTTTTCAACCTTCATAACAAATGCACAACCATCACCTAGCTAACTGGAGCTTTTTTTAAAGCAGATTTGAGTGGTTAAAAAAGGGCAACAGGACTTCTTTAGGTTTCTTTAGCCATTTCATTTTTCATCCAGGAGGCTTTTCCAGTTCAAATTATGAGAAATGGCATGTGTCATTACCGTCACTGAGTCCAAAAGGTGGCACCTGTCTAAGACAAGTACTGTCAACTAGGGCTGCACGATTAATCGTTAGAAAATCGCGATCTCGATTCATACTTATGTGCGATCTCATTTCCAAATGACAACGATTTAAAAAAAAAAAAAAAAAAAAAAAAAAAAAAAAAGGACGGCGACGATTGTACCGCATTTTGATCCGGGACGTAATCTGCATGAAAACAAGCGCTCACTCTTCCTGCTCAACAAATGACAAGGGCGGAGCCTTATACCACGTGATACAGAAGCTGTGCCGTGTGATGCTAAAATTAGCAGGGAAAAAACAACGGAGAGCACGTCAGGGATGACGAGAAAGTGACAGGAGAAAATCCGTCCCGGTCAACCACCCAAACATCAATAACGGGAACCTTATACAGCGCTTCCCTATACACGTCGAACTCCCGCAGGCACAAAGAAATTACGGAGGCTATCACTTATCACCTGACCAAAGATATGGCTCCCATCAACACTGTGCAAAACGAGGGATTTAGGAAAATGATCAACACCCTAGACAAACGCTACACAGTGCCGTCCCGCAACTGTTTTTCTATTGTTGCACTACCTGCTCTATACACGCAGTGTCGAGCAACAGTGGAGACGGAATTTCAAGCAGTACAACATTTTGCGGCAACAACAAAACGTGAGACATTTGTTGTTTTTATGTTTATTTATTGTTTTTATGTTCAGTCTCAACTGTTACGAAGTTGATGTGCAGCTAATAAGTGCAATAAATATTTATACTGGGAAAGAGAATCGTGAGAGAATCGTGATTCTCATTTTATGCAAAATCCTGCAGCCCTACTGTCAACTACTTTATTTTTAAGCACTCAAGACTACCATGACCTGCACAACTGAGAACCTATGCAGGCATTTTTAATGCAGTTACTGACAAATAATTTGGTTTTATCTGTGATTTATTATGGGCAACCACTATACTGCAAGTGTACCAGGAAGTAAGTATAACGATATTATGTCAGCAAAGTGAACTTGCAGGAAGTCTTCAAAAATCTTGTGTGGTTCAACATTCAAAGGTATTTAGCTGACAATGTAATAACAGAAACAGAGACGGCTGGAGATAGCAGACGGACAAAACTATCAAAATATGTAAATATTTTTTCAAAGGTAAAGCAACAGATTAAAAAGCTGCTGTACAAGAAAAATAAATAAATAAATCTGTCTGCGAGGCCTTCACACTTACTTAGAAAAGATTGGCAAACAATCAAACTCAACTTCAGGAAAAAAAAATGAAAGAAAAAGAAGGAAAGTGCAACAGAAACGAGTCAGAGTGCTGTCGGTTACTGAATGTCTCTAAATACTGCAATACTCAGAATCCTCCGGGGTCGTGAAATCAGAGTTTTTTTGCATATTCACAACACTGCCATCAAGAATTCAATAAAGACTCACAGCAGTGCCTTCTGGGAGATTCAGTCGGCTTCTGTCTTAAAGATCACACGCAGTCATAATGCAACGATTACACTCAGTGATGTGATGTGGAAGCCCCGCCCACTAAGCAGCTCTTCCCTTTTGCAGGAAAGAAAGCAGCTTCTGTGCTCGACATCCAGGAAAGCTTTCGCTCTCGTTTTAGCTTCACCAGCTGATCTGCTGCCACAAATTTCATCTAGCTGAACTCGAGAACCGCTTACTGGCTTTTTGTTGGACTTGCAAGCAGAGCTCTGACTAAAACAACAGGATATGAGCACATTTCTGTATTTTTTAAGGCTAAAGTAGCAAAACATCTGCTGGTTCAAATATGCAAAATATAACCCAGATGTGTGCCTGTGACTCAGTGGCTGCCGAGGTCCACCTGTGCCAGCTGCCAGCTGTGTTTATGACTTCTGGGCCACATCTGGTGATTGCCAAATGCCAGAACTGAGCGACAAGAGGGCCAAACGTGGGCCAGAAAAAAGCTGATTTTTTTTTAGTTCAAAAGGAAAAAAAAAACAAAAAAAACCCATCTTATAAGAAAGCTAATTTCATGCGAGCAAAGTGTATATTGAATATGTACGTTTTTGGTTTTTATTTTAATCACGTGTTACACACACCTCACAGCCAGCTGCATGTAGTGGCCTGTGTATTACTCCAGGACTCATTTCAGTGAAAATAAGCTTGTAATTTGTTGTCTGATTGCAAATAAGTGCGGTTTTCTATTAACACTTCTTATGTGTTATTGCTGTTTTTATTGTAAATTTGTTTGTTTTTTTCCTGAATTTTACATCACGTAACTAGGCCCTTTCATTTTTTTTCTTTCAATGGCCCGAATACAACCAAAATAAACTTTTCCACAGACAATTCAATGCTGGCGACTTGTTTTTGCTCCTTTCACTGGTGGGCTGTGAGTTTCAGATGGACAGCTGCAGGAAGGCTGTGACTACCACTCCCAGATAAAACCTTTTAGTGTTACAACAATGAACCAAAAAAAAGCTAATAAATTATAATAAAGATGTTGCTCTAATCGTAAGTCACGCTGATAGTGCAGGCCACCTGGTTGAATCCAACTTAACCATTATATGGTTTTGCTTGTGACGTCATACAGGTCAGCAGTGCTTGGAGCCTCCAGCTGTTGGCGGATTAACATGGAAACATCTGCAGCATGTAAATAAAACTGAGCGCTCAGCAGATCAGCAAATGTTTATATTTTCAATCTAAAGCAAAAAAGTACCTCACACTGGGGTCAGAGACGCTGTCCACCTCCTCTTTTCTTCTTTTTGTTGCTTGTTACAAGTGTTCGTTGTCACAGCAACAACATAACCATGAGTCCTGTACAGATAAACACTTTTGCATCATTTTTAAATGCTATTATTTCTCTCAGGCTTACTTCTCCTCCTCCTCCTCCTCCTCCTCCTCCTCTTCTTCTTCCTCCTCCTCTTTCTCTTTTCCTCCTTTGTCTCCCCGTGACACTTCTTTCTTTCCGTCCTCTTCTTCTTCACCTCCTCCATCTCCATCACCATCTGCCTCATCCTCTGCTTTTTTAGACTCTTCCTTGTCTCCTGTGCCCTTAAACAATTTAAATAAAACCCATTTTACTCATCACACAGAGGTATAAAGGTTTATTGGGTATGAAGTGCAATATATTCTTATAAACTTGGAAATCTATTGGAAATGAGCCAATCCATTAGTATAAATTAGTGTTCTTTGCAACCTTCTCAGTTTTCTTTTCAGTAAAATGCATGTTTCTTTTTGTTGTTTGCATTTTCTTTCTCAACTTTTATTCATTCTAAGGTTATTATAAATTTGCTAATTTTCTCCTGGAACTTTGACCCCTTTTTTCTCATAAATCTGTTTGTTTTCTCTTGTGAATTTTTTCATTAGACTTGCCAGTTTTTGTTAACGTAAATACATTTACTAATTGTTGTACAAATTCTGTAATTTCTTTCTTATAAATTGGCCATTTAACTTTTATTCTAAAATCTAACAAAATTAATAATGAACATTTATTTGTTATTAATTATTATTAACAATAAATAATTTTATCTTGTACATTTTTTTACACTTCACATAAGTGATTTTTTTCCTCTTAAATTTGCCAGTCCTTTAATTTAAATACATTTTCTAGCTTTTTTATGAACCAAGGTTTTTTTTTCATAAATCTACCTTTTGTTGTGTTGTAAATTTGCACATTTTTAAAAATATTTTCTCTCTCTTTTTTTGGCAAATGTTTGTAGTTTACTGTAAATTTGCTATAAATAACTTGCTGGTCTATAATATGTTAAATATATGTCAAATGAATCCCACAATGAATGATATCAAGTCATCCTGAGCCACTAACAACATTCCTGTAACAAGGCAGAAGCTACAATCAGTTTTTGGCAGTGACTTTTATATATTCTTTATTTATCCAGTAAAAAAAAAAATCTCGTTGACATTAAAAATGTCTTTTGTAAGAGTAATCTGTCCAAGAGGAGACCAGATATTGCAACAAATATAATAATAGATCTGTAAACATATTTTAAGTGGACAAAAAGGACCGGATTGGTTATAATGTAAGTACAATAACAAAGATTTATAAAGATACTTAAAAAAATGTAATTTTAAAATTTTATATATAACCCCTTTGTAAACCTTGTTCACCGAAGTCTATTTACCAACATACGTAAAGATGTTGCACATAAAAAACACACGGAAACATTGGAAATTAGTTTTTGGCAGGCGGTCACGTTTTGGCACAACACCGCTCTTACATGAATTCTTTCAACTTTGTCTCATATACCTGCGCTTTTACCCAGAGGTAGCCCTGTTTGTTTTTTGCTCGTCTTTCCGTGTTTCTACAGAAGTACCTGCGCTCCTGTGTATGACGCAGGCGCTCAGGTGTACCTGCTTCACGCGGCTCCTCCTCCGGCTCGGGATGCGGGCCTTCATCCTCCGGGACAGCGCCAACAGCTTGTTGTGTCTCTGCCTCCTCTTCGCCTTCTCCGCGTCCTCTTTCCGCTTCTCCTCCGCGCGGTCCGAGTCCGACTCGTCCTGCCGCTGCAGCCGGCTCCTCTTCCTCGGCTGGACCATCCTCTTCGTGTGACTTCCGTCGTCATCTTCCTCATCGTCGTCCTCTTCATCCTCGTCGCCGCGGCTAGACGACGAAGAGCTGTCGTCGCCTCTCAGGAAGGAGCGCTTCCTGCGGGTGACAGAGCGGCTGTCGTCGCTGGAGGTCCCCCCGGACTCGCTCCGGTCCCGGTCCTCCTGCTCGCTGTCGTCCTCAGGAGAGCTCTGGAAGTCGGACTGTGATCCGGAGGAGGAGGACGACGAGAAGGACCCTTCGTCACTGTCGTCCAGGATGGAGGCGGGCAGACCGATCTGCCGCTTCTTCGATGCGGCTACTTTGGTTTTCCGCATGGACGCGAACATTTTCCGCTTGTACAAACTCTCCATGTCTGCACGCGGTACCGGACAGTAGTGACATGAAACGGAAAAGCGACAGCAGAACCGGGCTCGGTGCACGCAGGCTAACGGCGCAGCTAGCCTCGCATTAACGACATGCTATTTATTCGCTGAAACACGCAACATGGCGCCTGAATTCATCTTCGTGCGGAATTATTTTGGAGTCTTTTCACATAAACGGACCGTTTGCAAACGTTACACTGAGAAAATCCGCGCTGAAAAGGTCACATTTAAAGGATTTTCAGTCCCTGAAAATGCCTGTGTGTTATTGTTGTGGCTTCTGCTTCTTCTCTAAAAATAACTACAGCACGCATTTGTACACACCGCCCCCTACGGCGAAGAGCAGGCGCTACACCTGCAAACTGAGCAGAAATTATCCTAGCACTCCTAACACTTTCCACTAAATAAAAAAAAATAGTCTGGGGAAAGAAAATTGTATACTAATAAAATAATAATATGAATCTATGAAAATAAATAAAATCTAAATCTACAGGAAGTGACTGTGGCTAACATCAATGTTAATTTTATTTATAGGTGTGGTCAGGTGTTTAAATACACTCCTCACGTTAGTTGTAAGCCACCTTCTAGTCTAAAGCACATTTTACCAAATATTAGTAGGGGTGTATGTAAATATTTGAGTCTGTATGTTTACTTTTGACCCTGTTGGGATAAGTTCAAATGTGTGCACCCAGTTCTTGTTTTTTAAAGTCCATCCATCCATTTGTTTCACTCCCTCATTCACACCTATGAGTTTTTAAAGTCATTAAAGATATATGCTGTATAATCATTCCACCCTAGAAAAAGAATTAATTAAAAGCCCAAAATTACCATGACTTTCATTCCCATGATGACTGTGTGGAAACCTATGACCACAACTGTAAATGTCACATTTCATTACATCTAAACTGAATAAGAGATTAATTAGGCTTCAGTCATATAGGTCACATTTGTAAACACAAACATTTGGAAGGCTGGGAGCGTTTCGGATGTCACTGTGAGTCATTCAGACACCACCTTTTTAAAGTGGTGTTTTTGGTACATGTAGCTAGTTCACATGCCTTTGCCCTCATTATAAAAACAACACTGAAACTAAAAAAAAGCCCAAAACAAACAAAATAAAAAAGCTAAAGTGAAAATTTACTGAAAATTGGAAACAAAAAGAAAAGAAAAGTACAAAACTGTTATGATTCTGTTATTTACACTACACATCTGTAAGAATGAAATCAAACATAATACAGGATAAAACAAATTCAGTGTACAGTTTCTCTTGTGATAGGTCTTTTTCTTTTACTTTATTACCTTTTTTATTTTATTCTATTATTATTTTATTTATTTGGTTTAGGTTAAGGGAATAAAAACCCAGAGTGATCCTCCAAATATTTACTTGTAACATTTTGGCTCGTATAAGAAAAACTTGGACGTTTCTTATTCCAATCAATCCAAGTGGCGTCTCTCACTCATCCAGATCATTGCAGTCTAAAGGTCTTGAGATGAAAGCAACTGGACTTCTTGTTTAGGTTCTTGAAGACATTTTAGAAAGGTGTATTCAATTCTCCATGAAACGACTTCAAGTACCTGAAAGAGGTCGAGGTGCTGTTGACTCAAACACTTCAAATGCTGCTGAGTGTCTGTGAGACTGCTGAGGAGTTTTTCTTCTCCCCAAAGGCCTGAAAACACCAACAAATACAGCTTTAACAAAAGAAACGAGCTCTACGGTGGAACCTTCAGTGAGATTTTAATCCTAATTTGATTTAAAAACAGGTTTGTTTGTATCATGAAACATTCCTCGAGTCTTCCTTTCATCTCTGCACAGACACACAAGAACAGAGGACCTCCGTTAGGTCCCCAGTCAGGACTTCTGTGCTAGAAGCGTGCTCAGTTTGATTTTCCCGTCCATGGAGGCTGTCAGGCAGGTGCCGCAGTCCACTGCTGAGCACCAGTCGACGGTCACCACTGGTGCTTTATGCCCCCCCAGTGACAGCACCCTCTCCAGAGCTGACTCCCCACTGGCCAGCTGGAAGAGAGGGGACCAGGAAATTTTTTAAAATACAAAACACATTTAAAGCATTAAAGAATGCTTGCTTACTTACTTACAGACAGACATGAAGGTGTACTCACTCTGTATATGAGTCCACCGGAGCTAGAACAGGTCAGGACGTGTTGACCTTCAGAGTCAAACGTGAAGAGTCGACCTCGAGGGACTTGAACCTGAACAAGAATTATATCACCAAGTTAGAAAAAAGCACCCCAAATTGTTTACTTTGGTGATTTTACTTCTTTGAACTATAAAAAATGTTTTCTTATGAACAGAGTTTAATTTGCTTTGTAGAATTCAATGTTTTCTAGCGAGCTTTGGTCATGAAATCAAATGAAGTGCTGTCTTGAAAATTAACCAGCAGGTCTGCTTACTTGTTTGTAGCCGCTGTACCCCGACAGGACGAAGGGCCCGGTGGCGTCCTGAGGTAAAATCTGCTCCGACTGCTTAACCCCACAGCGATGGATGTTCCACTGGATAAACTGCATGCGCACGCACACACACACACACACACACACACACACACACACACACACACACACACACACACACACACACACACACACACACACACACACACACACACTTTCTTGACTTTCCTGAGTAACATAAGGAGAACAGACGGAGCTACACTAGTTCTGGCTTTCACGCACCTTGGCATCTTCTCCGATGCTGAAGACGGTATTTTCATCATAGCTGAACTCCACACTGTAAACTTCCCCATCATGAGCTCTCCAGCTCATCGCGCTCTCATACCGCTGCATATCTACAGAAGACAGAGGACAGAAATGTATTTAACTTACTTGGGTTTTGGTAAGTGACAGCAAAGAGGCCACAGATTAATCCTCCTTGAAAATAATCTTTGGATGAATCGAGTATGAACGCAGACCAAACAGTCTGATGACTCCGTCAGCGGCTCCAGTCACCAGCAGGTTTCCATTGTGATTGAAGGCTGTGCAGTTTATGGCTACTGGTTCTGGCTCCAAAGAGAACTGGAGCTGAAAGACAGAAAGTCAGAACATTATGCTACAGGCAGGAAATAAAAAGAGCAGTTTAACTAGTTTAACTGTAACTGTCAAGGAAACTGAATTGGAGCTCATAGGCAGGCACATAACAGAGGAAAAGTTGAGTTAATACCCAAACCTTTCTTGGAAACAGGTTTCAGGTTTGCCAGAGCAGTCAGGTAGCCTGTTTAAAATGTGCAAACACAGTTTAAGCAGCACCTATAGGGCTGAAGTGCCAAAAACTGCAGCTCTAATCATGTCCACTGGAGGCTCACTCTAGCAGTGAATCAGTCCCATAGACCAGGGGTAGCAAACTCCAGGCCTCGAGAGCCAATGTCCTGCAGGTTTTAGATAACACCCTGGGTCAACACACCTGAATCAAATGATTAGTTAATTACCGAGCTTCTGGAGAACTTCAAGACATGTTGGGGAGGTAATTTAGCAATTTAAATCAGCTGTGATGGATCAAGGACACATCTAAAACCTGCAGGACACCGGCTCTCGAGGCCTGGAGTTTGCCACCCCTGCCATAGAACCTTTTTGGCGTAAAACGTCCAGCTTTACAGGAGAAATAAATACATTTACAGCCTGCTAAAAAGCAGTTTTGCCTCTAAAGGTCATAACACTACTGTGTATGAATGTGTTTATACATAAACCATTTTGACCCCCATTGCAGCTTAAAATTAAGGGTGTGGCCACTTTGATTAACACATGGTTGCCCTCTGAGCTGCTAGCTCCCTGAGGCTTCACGTCAGCTACCTGAACTGGACGCCTTGACTCAGTCTGTGCAGTTGGAGTTTATATTGCTCCAGTTTTCTGCTACAGCTGGGGTTTTAAATACACATTCTTTAAACCCAGTGGTTCCTGTTCCTGGTCTTGGACTGATGTGCAGACATATTAGCTAAATGATCAGTTAACCACCTGCTGTTTGACAGTCTTGGTGTCCCATAGCAGCAGCTGACCAGACACCGTTATGGGAAGTCGAGGAGCAGACTCGCCACTTCCAGATCGACTGTGAGCTGCAGCTGAACAGACGAATGATGAACCGCTGGGGCTGCAGGCTAAAGACAAGATACTGAAAGGCAGAAAAATACATTCTCATATGGAGATGACCTCGACTGTTGAAGACACAGTAAATCTAGTTTATGGACGTAGTTCCATTCAATTTGTAATGTAATTATAATGTAATAAAATAAAAGAGCACCACCCATTTTAGCTCCATCACTATCGGATGGGTTAACATTAATTTTGGCACATAACAACATTACTGATACTGAAACATAACCACGTTTGGATCAGATTTTCAGTTTAGCGCTCCATAAAAACTTCTGAGTTCCTGAGCTGCAGCTTTTAGACACTTTTTTTGTCTCAGCAAGGAGGCACTTTCATGCAATACAAAGCCAACAAAGAGGCAGAAATTGGTCCTAATTATGTTAGTGAGGAGCTCCAGGGTGCAGGTTTACCGTGGATGAGCCTCGTCGATGTTCATCTCATAGAGATTCTTCTTGGCTTCCGTATCATACAACCGTACTGTGCCAACGCCGCTGCCTAATAACAACTGATCACACACACATGCAAACATACATTTTACTGTTGGACAGATGTGTTTGGTGTATCAACTAGGTCACAAGCAACCTTGGGGTTTAGGCTTAGGGTTGGGTTTTTGTTTTGACTAGTGCTAAATAGGCAAATATCAAGGAACTAAGAGATTTTACCTTTCAAATTAAGTCTTGCAAATTAATTTTGGCAGTGCAATTGTTCTGTATGCATTGCACTAGAGACAACTGTCTGAAAACAAGTAACGAAATCCTAACCGTAACGTTAGGTGGATCATTGGTGACCTAGTGCATGGTAAAATGTTACCTTATCAGAATATTTATAAAATCAATGTATCTGAAAGTAAACACTGCTACCAGTCGGTCTGGTTTGGTGGCCCACTCCAGAGACATTAGAGGAGATTTGGACATGATGGTGGCTTTGGTCTGCATGATGGGGTTGAACGACCACACCTGACGGAGTAGGAGGGGCAGAGGAAGAAGTCTTTCATGAGTTTTCCTGTCAGTATATGCTGTTAGAATACCGTAGCTTGAAGACTATGAAATGCAGGTTTACCTTGATGACTCCGTCAACATCCAAGCTAGCGACACGGCGACCAGAACAGTCAACCCTTGAAAACAAGCGAAGGGCAACAGAAAGAAAAAAAAACTAATTAAGGCTGAGTTTTTGTTTTTATCCTTAAAGTGGGTGAATTGTGACAGACAGACCTGCAGTGCATGATGGATGAGTGGTGTTCTCCGTACTCCTCCTGGCTGAGTTTAATGAAGGGAGGTTCCTCTTGGCTTGGACCGCAGCTTCTGCTGTTTGAGGAATCGGTAGGTTCACTTGAGGACTCAATGGGAGGCTCCACCTCCCCCAGCTCCCCTTTCTTCTCTGATGTCTGAAGATAACACATGAAAGGGCTCACCAGACCAAAAAATTATTGTCTTCCAGCATACTAATTCAAAGTGCAGGTTGACCACTCGCAAAACTGTTTGAACATAGCTGACCTTTACCTCCACAGGTAAGGTAAGACTAAGGGCATCGCATTTGTTGCATATCTAAAGGATGCAACTATACCTGTGGTGGTGGTTTGGAGAAAAGCTCCTTCCTCTCCTTCTCATGATCTTGGATTCTTTTGTGTCTCGAATTCTGGTTCCCTGACTGGTTTGTAGACAGCTGGGACTGGGAGCTCACTGGTTCACTGGTTGATGACTGGGTAGATGCTGGCTTCACCTCCTTAACTTGGCCTGCTTCTTTAGATTTCACAGGCTAAAAAAGATGGAAATGATTACAACCGTAGATGTAGAAAACTGGAACACGAGTGCAGCTTGCTATTACTCTCTGAGGGAATGATTTTCAAACTTTGTGGTAGAAAATAATTAAAATATCAAATTCATTACCCAATATTTATTATACTAATGGACACACCCAATGAACCCAATCAAGCCTCGATCCTGAATCAGTGTGAAGTTTAGTCTGCTGCAGAGTCCTTAACAGACATCTCTTATTGGACAGGTTGGTTACCGCCCATTGTACATCATGAATCTTTGCCATTTCCTATCCATTTTCTATCACTAATCTGGGTCCAGATCACATTGGTAGTATAAGCAAAGATGCCTAGGCCTCCCTTACTCCTGACTTCAGCTTTTTTTGTATCTTCCCAAGCCAATTAAAAGACTTGACCTCTCTGGTGTGTCCTGGATCTGTGTTGGGAGTCTCCTGTGTGTGCCTGACACACCTCACATAAGAGGTGTCCAAATCTCCCCAACTAAGTTCCAACAGGAACAAGTCTGACTTGTTACTGACAATACAATCCAAGCTCTTACAACAGTTGTACATGTTGCCAAATAGCCCATAACAACAACCAGATACCCCATACATTTGACTATGTAGACTGCTAGGCCAACATTAGAAACTAGCATCAAAGTCCAACTAGTTGGAGACATTTCTTTATTAGGGTTTGTTAGTCTTTATCATCTTCCTGATGAGATGGTAACTCAGAAGAAGGTATACTGTCCCAAGTACCAAATTTCTAAAGTGAAGGGTCTTTCACTTTCCATATACAATCATCAGCTTTTGAACATAAGATGACCTGTCTCTGACTCACTAGTTGCAAAAAACCCAATTTTGTTAAAAAAACAACCATCCAGTCTGTGAGTCAAGGTCTTTTTTTAAATCTGTGAATTTGGCAATTCCTTGTGCTCACCTGATTACTCAGTGGGTCCTTCCTGCCCATTGCTGCCTGGCTTGGTGAGGACCCAGAGATGGCTTGCATTGGTTTCCCTGGGGCTCGTCTGCCTTGTGGTAGGAATGTTGAGAAGAAGTTTCTGGTAGGGGTGGTGGCAGTGCTGACAGCTCGCTGGCTCGTCACTAAGTCCCTACAAAGAGAATAAAAGAAAGGAAGTTTTAAAACAGCATACTACTACAGTGAATCCAAGCAAAGAGACCACAGCTATCAGCAAATGCCATTGCCATGAAAGGGTATGAGTTTTGCGACAATTTTTGGATAGTTAAAGTGAGCACAATAAACACCAGAACCCAAGATATCATACTGGCTATGCCGACTTGTCTTGATCACATAATTGCCATCTCTTCCTTTTTAAGCACATGATGAACATGCATCTGGCATTTATCCTTTTGCACCGCTCACTTGTCCAGTTGGGTGAACATTCGCTGGTGGACAGGTGTCCACATGTGTAAACTGACTGGTCTACAGCTATACACGTCCATTTTCAACAAGTAGAGCTGCACTATGTGTGTTCTGACACTTTCTGACAAAAAGTAGCATCAAGGTCTTCAATGATTTGTAGCTCTTTGCCAGCAAGCCTTTCGACCCCATGAGCATCAATAGTTCGTGGGGTTTCAATGACCGTGCTGCTGGTTCGCCGGTTGCTGTTCATTGGACTTATAGAGCAGTTCTCACTATGAAGCAACAACACTGTTTGCACCATATCAAAACAAAGGTGTGACAGGCCATTTCTGTCCAGTCTTGCTATGACTTTCCAAAAGAGACCTCTATAAATGGACCAATCACTATCAAAGATACTTAGGTCATTAAAACTTTTATATTTTCAGTAAGTAAAAAATAAGGTTAGACTTTTGACTGCCTAAAAAACTTCTTTTTTTCTACCCTTACTACTATGCTTACCAGTTGGTTTTTCAATTTTGAAGAATTTTTCTAATTCTCTTCATAACCGTGCGTGAGATTTTAGTGTATTGAGACACAAATTCCCTTGTTTCAGTAAGGGAATCCAACATAAAACTGCCAAATCAAAGATGCAGAGCTGTGGTGACCTCTTCTGACAAGGGCACAGACGAAAGTAGCTTTTTTTGAGGAAGGGGGGGTTGGCCCAAAAACCTATGTGCAGTCTGAGATCCTCAGCCAAAGATGTGTTGCTTCTTCCTGTGAATAGGTGGGAGACATAGTCTTTGTTGCCAGGGCTCCTTTGCTTCCTGGTAGAGATCTTTATTGGTCCCCAGGCTTCTCAGTTACTCAGAATCAAGTGGGGTATCGTGGCTTTGTTATCAGTGATCTCTGGTCAAGATCTTTTTGGGTCTACTGTATTTTAGTTACTCCAAAAAAGTAGAAAATCAAGTCAGTGCTCCCTGGTAAAAGTCTTCATAAATCCACTTCAGAACCACGAGGATTTTGCTTCACCGGTTAGCACTGCTGCCTCACAGCAAGAACGCCCTGGGTTCAAATCCACCATCTGGTTGCAGGCTTTCTGTGCGGAGTTCCAGTTTATATGTTCTTCCAGTATCTGCGTGGGTTTTCTCCAGGAATTCTGGCTTCCTCCTGGAGTCCAAAAACATGCATGGAATTAGGTTAATTGGTAATGCAAAAACCTTAGGTATGAATGTGAGTATGAATTGTTGTCCGTCTCTCTGTGTTGGTCCTGGGACAGTCTGGCTGCCTTTCCAGAGTTAACCCCACCTCTTGCCCTGTGGCACTATGGCAGCTGGGACAGGCTTTAGCACAGCCACGACCTTGAACTGGATAAGCAGAAGAAAATGAATGGATCCAAGGGCTTCTTGTTAGAGGTCTTCTTCAGTCCACTTCAGAACCAAATGGGTCACCATGTGTTTGTTGTCAAGACCATTTTTGTGTATAATACTTGGTGGGTGTGGTTTATCACCATCATGCATTGAATTATTCATTTGAAGAGGAAATAATGAATGTGTAATTGTCTAACAACACTTACTGCAAAAGTTAGGTTGCCTTATCATCAGCCATCATCAGCCAACTAACCTCTTAGCATCCATTAAAATAAAAAGTGTGTTGAGTTTGGGTTTTTTCTGGGTCCATTTCAGATCGGGTCCAACATCGATTCAAGCCCCGTCAACGATCCAGATGAGGAGCTTTAACTAACTTCTTAAAAGATACTTCTGTCAATCACATTTTTTTAGAGTATTTTAAAGTTTATTGGGGAAGTGTATTTGCTGGCCCGGTCTATCGATCGCCTGGAAGTTTAACAAAAAAAAAAAAAAAAAAAAAAAAAAAAAAAAAAAATGGCTCAATGGAACAATTCATCAGGTGAATTGTTTATTGTGAAACATCAACCGCATTACAGCACACAGTTTAAATACTGCAACAGCATAAATATTTTGGCATTTTTGGCAACAATACGTTAGCTAAAATATGGTTTTAAATAGTTTTTTTTATATGGATAAATATAAAATAACTCAGTTTTGTTTGATTTAAAGTGCCTGAATATGAAAATATGAGGTTACGTCATTTATTAAATAAATACTGTCACAAAAAGTGCAACAACCTTAGTTGTCATTTAGGCCTGAACCATGCTAACATCAGTCCATGTTCATTCTGTGCTTTGTGTTAAAATGTAACTTAAGAAAACAAAATAAAAACAAACGAAACCACAAAGCTGCAATGGATAAAAATCTTGATTAATATTTTAAGGTTTAAGATGGCTGCCATCTGCAACTCACAGCACAAAACACATTAAGAGTTTCAAAGTGATAAATACAAGCACAATACGCCAGTTTTTCCATAAAAATACTAAAGCATGGCATTAATTTTAGAAATGAGCTGACTATTGATGGTTAAAAGCATCATGATGCTGGCAGTGTTTAAAAATGGACAGAATGGCAGCCATCTTTGCTGTGGTTAGTCATCAGTAAAGACAGTGATGTTAGTCTCTCACAGCTCAGTGTCTCCCAGTCGGTCCATGTTCTGGACGTATGTCGGCAGCTTGTGGTGGATCATCTCATCTCTATCCCTCTGATCCCGGCTCTCCGTCTGCAGGGCGAACAGCTGGCGAAGATACAGCAGACAGGTCAGACGTCTACCCTGACTACAGCTTAGCATGGAGCACATCACATTTTAAAACTTTGTTTCATGAAAAAACTTTTACACTTAGTCTATGTTTTTAAGTACTAGTGTCCAACTTTTTGTTAGTTCAAAAATGGAATAAACCAATCACATGGCAGCGACTCAGTGCAATTAAGCACGTAGACACGGTCAAGACGACCGGCAGAAGTTCAAACAAAGCATCGGAATCAGGAACAAATGGGATTTAACTGACTCTGAATGTGGCGTGGTTGGTGGTGCCAGGTTGATCTACTGCGATTTTCCCACGCAACCTCTATCTCTAGGGTTTACAGAGAATGGGATGAAGAGTAGAAAATATCCTCTGAGTGGCTTTTCTCAATCGAAATGTCTTGCTTAGGTCAGTGCCTCAGCTACATCAAGCCGATAGGAAGGTGTGGAGATTATTTTCTAGGCACACTTTTGGCCCAATGAGTAACAACTAAATGTCACAGCCTACCTGAGCATTGCTGTCAACCATTTCCGCAAGCACAATGTAACATTTTACAATTGATGTTTTGGGACAATTTGCTATGTTCCAAAGTTCAAATCATCTCAAACTGATTTCTTTAACAGGACAATGAGTTCACTATACTAAATGGCCTCCACAGTCACTTGATATCCACCTAACAGAGGACATTTGTCAAATATTCCATGAAGAATTTAAGTGATTCTGAAGGCAAAAGGGGGTTCAATGGAGTACGGTGTACCTAATAAAGTGGCACGGAGTGGTGGCCAAATCATGGGATTAATACAGTGAGAATTAATAGGATTTGATTTGATTTTAATTAGTAAACAGAACTTTTGGAAACCCATTGAAATTAATTTTTAAGCTAAATAATGAGACTTAATTTGCATGGCGGGTGATTAAAAGTAAACGACGGGATCAGTTGTAGCTTTTTTGAACAAATCTACATTTGCATTATTCATGCAAAATTGATTTAATTTAAAATGAAATGCACTCTCTCACCAGCTGACGGAGCTGTTCGTTCTCCTCCATCAGGCAGGTCATCTTCTGGACTTCAGCATCGAAGCTGAGGAGGACAGGCTGAGGTGGGAAACAAGTTAAGGACTGAAAACTGAATTCCAGCAGATCAGTGCGGCCGCCTCTAAATTGTCAGAGCATGTTGAATATTAAGGCTGGCTGTGTGTTTCAAACTCAAGGATATGCATACACTGGAAGAGCACCGACAGGAAGTTATGCAGTGAAACCAGGAAGGTGTCAGACCACTGGCGGGAGAAGTACTGACAGAAGGCGGAGTTCTGCTCAGGGGAGGAGATAAATGGCAGGATGAACCAATCACGCCACTCAGCCTGACCCTGCAGCTCTGACGCCTGCTTCTGGAAAAACTCCTGAGTCTTCTCCAGGTTTCCTTTCTGGAAGGACGAGATAGATTTTTAAATCTTTGTTTCAGAAACACGCAGCAGGATGTCTGATTTCTCCATGAGGTGATACCTGCACGGTGTTGATGATGTAGTATCTGTACAGGCTGATCCTCAGCTTGTTGACGGTGGATCTGTAAACATCCTCGAGTCTGCTGAACAGACGTTTATCCAGGTAGAGCCAATATTCCTTCAGACCAGCCAGGTCAAAGCTCTGGACAAACTGCTGCAGCTGATCGATGATTTTATCCACCTGCACAGCACAAAAATAATGAAAAGTTATTCAGTGTCCTTTTTCTGCTGAAAGAAGAAACATCTTCAAAAACCTGAAATAGCAGCTTTTTTCGTTAACCCTTCACACCATTGCAAGCTCCTTTCTCCAACTTCCAGATGATGTGACTATTTTACTGTGAGGCTGTGAGGAAACAGAAATACATCAAACAACGTTTCTGCCAGCCATACCCTGAAGCCTTTCTCCTTGTCAGCTTTTATGTCGTTGTCCAGATGTTTCAGAGTGTTGGTGAAGCCACGGTAGATCAGATACTCCCTCACATGCTCATCTGTCCTTTCCACTGCAGAGCCCATGGTGACCTCTGACCCTACAGGGAACAAGTCAGCGTTTATTATGATTATTCAGTTTGTGTCTACTGTAGTCATTTGGTTCTTTGAAAGTATAAAGACAGAGACATTTAACTTCAGGTTTTAAGATTATTTCTTACATACACATTTATACAAGTATAATATCCAGCACTCTGGCTGTACACAAATAAAGAAGAAGACATAAACACAAGAATTCCAATCAACTTTTTCTTTTAATATTAGCTGACAGACATTCAAACCATTGATCTCACCGAGTAGCTGAGTAATGTGTAGGTAGTGGGTGGTGTGGGCTTTAGCAGTCTGATGGCATGAAGATCAAAGCTTCTCCATATTGTTTCTGTGCTGGCAGCATATAAACAGCACACAGTAGTGTCTCCCCAATGGCAGTCAGCTGTTAGGGTGGCTGGAAGAATCTCCCGCGATCCTCTCGGCTCTAGATCTGCATCATCTGAAGTACACATCCTCTTCTCTCAGCTGAATCAACTACCCTCCTGATGGATAAGTGGTCATGCCCAGGGAATGATGCACCCTTCCCAGAAGTGCAGAGATTCCTAAGCGCCCTGAGCAGGAGTTTGAAGTACTTTAATCGCATGAGGTTGTAGAAGCCTTGATGGGATTTCTTCAGCAGGGTGTTACTTGAAGTTATCCACTTTCTCTACCTAGGCCTGATTTATACTGAGAGGGTAGAATAATACTCTGCTGTTTTTTCATGGTCCCCTCGGTTTCCTGAGTTCAGCTCAAAGTTGCTCTCCTTATACCAGGTGAAAGGTGGTTGATTTCATACCAGTGGGCAGATGCATTATTATTTGAGAACAGTCCTGCTCTCGGCACATAATTTTATGGAGCTCCAGTGCTGAGGGTGAGAGGAAGGAACCATTTGTGGCCTGTCAGCCAGCCAGGAAACTGATCATGCACCTGCACAGGTGCACAGGGATTTCTTTTTTTTTTTTTTTGCAGGGGGGGGGGGTGCCTGAAGGGGGCTATTTTTGGTACATTAGTTTACAACCTCTGCTAATACTGAGGTTACTAAGTGTGCAGATACATTTTCTTCAGAATAAAAGTCTATAAACATCACTGCATGAAAATGTTTAGAAATAAGGTAGATGAAGAAAGGATTCAGACCACCTTAAAGTTTCCGCACATTATTTTAAGCAGACAGAATGTTCTCTTTTTCACCGCTACTCGGTATAAAGTTCCTACACATTTTAGTAGATTAAGCGGACCTATTTTCCTTATTTCTAGTCATCTCGCCACAGAATTTCTGTTTACAGAAGACAGCCAATCAGAAGAAAGGTGGCTTAAAGTAGGAGGAGCTAAAGCAGGTTGTTTGAGACAAGTGACATGAAACAGTAGACAGTAAAATTAAAAAAGGATTATTTTGAGCTGTGAAACAGGCAGAGCTACTTGAGTAAATGTATTTAGTTACTGTATGTCAGCGATTATTTAACAGACTTCAAAACACTGACATCACAATATTAACATGACAATCTAACCCACTTAATGTCACTTTTCTCAACTAAAGGATGAAGAAGGTAAAAGGTAATATTGCTCAATTTCTTTTTAAACTTCAGTAGCGTTCACTCCATTAGCAATAATTCACCTAAAACACTTCCTCTTCATGCACTGACCGCTAACTTAAAACAACATTAGATCACCGTTATGCATCCACAGCGGGACGTCGATAGTTATAAAAAAGAAAAAAGAAAGTGTACTTTAGATCCTTAAAAGTCTGAAGCAGAATATAAAGTATCATTTTTGTAAATGTAACCGTTTTATTTGGATTTCCTCCACCGCTTTTTGTTGCTAAAAACACTTCGGCCAGACTCTATTTGAAAATCTCTTTAATTGGTACACACGGCAAATGTAAGTTTAAACTCAGATTCACAATCCATCCCAGCAAACATCAAACGATGTCAACATTGACTGATTTCAGAAAATGTATTATTGTAAATCTGAAGAGACACAGGAACTGCAGTTAGCTTCATTTTAGCATCAAGTGTGCCACCAGAACAATCGACTGGAACACGTTACAATCACTATTACACAAAATCTCTCACATTAAACAGGCCAAATGCAGGCAGAATTAACATTCATTATGCTATAACATAATAAATCATAAAATCACGTCTTAACATTTACGTACCTCGGAGGAGAATCCAGATTATTTTAAATGAAGCAAATTTAAGGCGAAGTTTGGCTTGGTCTTTTCTTTGGTTTCAGCACCATGAAAGTGAACCGTCACCACCCAGAAACAGAATTGCACTTTTTTAGATCCATGAATCTTCAGAGCACAAAGCTGCTCTTCCGTCTTATTGTGAAAACTAAATGTTTACAACAACAAAGAGAAAGAAAACTCTCTTCCTGCTCTATTTTTCCTCCTGACAGTCATGTGATGAGCTAACGTATAACGCAGCCACACACTGCGCATCCTGCGCGCCCTCTATCGGTCAGCACGTCTCAATACACCTGTGCCGGATATACCAGCTGTTACCTGCAAAAATGTTACAAAGAATGTAGCATTTTTGTGTGTGTTTTCCTCTCTAAATCTCACCCCTTCTAGTAGTTAAAAGTGGTGTACGTGCTGGAGTAAAAAGACAGCTGTTAAAAGTGTTAAAAGCAACTGAAAAATAAAATCACAGTTATTTCGTCTTGTATATATGTGTCTTTAATATCCGAAAATTACTACAAACGTATGACTTTAAAGTGAAAATTTAGGACTTTTTCTTTATAACCTCTGTAAGTTACATTTTTTTCCTCTTAAATGTATACACCGTTATGATGAGAAAGTAATATTTGTATAATCAATATTTTACAATATTTAAAAATATATATATTTTAAATATATATATATATATATATATATATATATATATATATATATAATATATATATAGAGAGAGAGAGAGAGAGAGAGAGAGAGAGAGAATGCGAGAGAGAGGGAGAACACTTGAAGGAAAAACAGGAAATAAAAACGAAAGCATGAAAACAAATAATTAAAAACATTTAAAATGTAAAATATGTATGCATTTTAATAACCACAAAACCTATTAAGCAAACGCATACGCAGGGGGTCACGCGGTTACCGTGGTAACACGCTAAGCAACGCAGAGCTAATACCATAGCAACGCGTAAACAATAAGCTCCGAGGCGAAGGGGAGAAAATGTCAGACACAAGACGAGGAGCGGAGGAAGTGGAGGAGAGGAGCAGTGCTGAGGAGGACGAAGAGGAGGAGAAGTCTGAGGAGGCTCTCTCCTCCTCAGCAGCTCCCAAGAGAAATTCTGAACCGCCACAAGCGCAAACTCTGTCTAACATCCCCGAGGCGGTGGACGACTTCCTGAGGAACTTCTTGCGCAGAGCCGGCCTGACGCGGACTCTGAGCCGCTTCGAGGTGGAGTGGTACGGCTCGGCGCTCAGGCGCCTCACAGACACCCTGAACACCGTAGCCACGGCGGCCCCGGGGGTCTACTTCATCCCCGATGCTCTCACACACCGACGCCTCCTCCAGAGCGAGCTGGAGGCGGTGCGCGCAGAGACGGAGCTGCTCAGGGAGGAGGTGCTGGGTGCAGGAGCGAGCCTAGTGAGGATACAGAGGGAGCGGGACTTTCACCGGCTGCAGCACCGGCGAGTCTCCGAGGACAAAAGGAGGCTCACAGAGGACTTCAAACAACTGAAGAAACATCTGCAGTCGTACGACCCCGTGCTCAGGCAGCTGGAGGAGAAATACCAAACAGCTGTCAGGCAGAAGATGCTCCTCAGCTTCCACAGAGAGAGACTGCAAAGCACCACAGACCCTACACCAGCGCAGGTGAAGGAGGAGAGGAGGAAGGAGAAACCACCAGCAAAGACCACTGCACGCCTGAAGGACTCGGAGTTCCCCCCCTGCAGTGGGCTCCCAAGGGCCTACCTGGAACAAATGAACTCTCACAAAAGCTTCGCATCTTTCAGCCTCGCATGCTCTATAAGAGCGCATCAGCAGCCAATCAGCTGCATCGACCTGCATCCAAGAAAACTGATCCTTGTCTCGGCCAGTGATGACAGCACCTGGAGATTGTGGGTTCTCCCAGAAGAAAGAGAAAAGGTGAGAGGAGGTGAAAGCTCTAAGAGGAGGTGGGGAGGTGACATGTGAGGGTCACTCTGATTGGATGATGCACTGACGTGTGATGTCACCTACTGTGTTGCCAGGTGGGTGAGATGCTGCTGACTGGTGAGGGTCACTCTGATTGGCTGTCCGGTTGTAGCTTTCACCCTGATGGATCAAAATTAGCGACAACCAGCGGAGACATGACAGTAAGTTGGTCCTGATGACAACACAGAATAAACCTACCTCATTGGTTACAGATGTGTACTTCTTCCTGCAGGTGCGGCTCTGGGACTTCTCTCGTGGCTGCTGTGTACTGATGCTCTCTGGCCATGCCCAGCCCACCTGGGCATGCTCCTTTCACTCATGTGGTCACTTCCTGGCCTCCTGCTCTGCTGACAGAACCGCCAAGCTGTGGGACCTGAACAGCCAGCGCTGTCGCCTCACACTGCGCCAACACACCGCCTCCGTCAACAGCGTCTGCTTCCTACCTTCCTCCAACCTCCTCCTCACCTGTTCCGCTGACAAAACCATCGCCCTGTGGGATGCCAGGCTAGGTGTCTGCACCACCACCTTTCTTGGACATTATCACCCCTGCAACCATGCTGCCTTCAGCTCAGCGACCAGCATGGTGGCCTCCTGTGACTCTTCTGGCATCGTCAACACGTGGGACATGAGAAAACCCACATCGCCGATGGCCGCTGGAGACACCGGGCCGCTTAGTGCCAACCAAGTGGCGTTTAACCACTCAGGGAAGATGCTGGCGGTTGCCAGCAGCGACGGTTTGGTGAAACTGGTGGAGGTAGACTCTGGCAGTGTGAGCAGCTTGGAGGGCCACAGGGACAGTGTGCAGAGTGTGACCTTTGACCACAAGGGGGAGACTGTGATCTCGGCAGGGAGTGATGGGAGGGTTAACATCTGGTCGTAACATAAGATTTCTGATTGAGTAGTGATCGATATCTGAGATTGACGTGAACTTTTAGTTGTATTAATCAAAGAAGTGACACCATGGAGGTTGTAAACCAAAACATGTTTAATGAGAGCTGTGCAAAGACAAGCAGCTAGAAGCACACATTAAACATTTAACATCAAGTGTCTTCTTCACCCCGAGGTGAATAAAAATACTTCCTGCATCAGAGGGTTAAAGTTCCTCTGTGCCAGTATGAGTCCTGTCATCCTGAGGATGGAGGAAACACCATCTGGTTTCATGTCTTTAATGTTTGAAAAGTGAAACTGATGCAGTACTATGAACCTGCATTCTTTCTAATGACCTAGCAGGGGGCAACTCCTCTGATCAATAAATAAAGTCTGATTGTTAGTCCATGGGAAAATTGCATTACTCCTGCTCTGACCTTTGCGTCTTTCCTGATGGTTTCATCCTTTAGTTGAAAAATGATAATTTTCTAAATGATCGTCCCCTAGTTTTACTGTCAGATTCAAATGTGCTGATCTTTTTTTTTTTTTGTGTATTATGTACATTTTTTGTCTGTTATGGCTGTATTGAGTGTGCATGTGAGGACGGATGACTCACAGCTGCAGAACAAATCTACTTATGGTAACCTGAACCTGAAGATGTATGAAGAACAACTCTGAGTGAAATGGTCTTTATCTGACTTACAAATACAATCAATTGAATGTTATCAGAGTATCATTTAGCATGTATATATATATAGAGAGAGTAAGTCTCATGGTCTCATGTGACAGTCTTCATTTATGCTTTTTTCCCAGCTCTTCTTCTGTCTGCTAACAGTTTTTGGGTTTCCATTTGGGTGGAGCTACAAATTGGCATCCTTTTTTAAAAAAAAGCCATATCTGACAATTGTAATTTTTATTCAGTTACGACACACATTTACCGTGTCACAAACTTTTTCCTCCCTCTGCAAAAAAAACCCAACAAAAAAACAACAACTCAAGCAAAAGAGACAAAAAACATTTCTTCAAATCTTTCTGCTTCTTTTTTTGTTAGTTTCTATGATATTCGACAAAATCAGCAAAGGTTGTTAATTTTGGTGACTTTTAACGTTCCCTGATAAAAAATGCTGTGCAGTCCCAGATAAAGATAGACATCTGAACACCCTGGTCCCCCCAACCCATGGCTCAATACTTCAATTTTCAATCCACGAGTCTTGAGTCTTAAGAAAATCGGACTGGATTGTCACAGTAGTACACGTTGTGCTTCCACGTGTACATCTTTTCTACAGCAAAAGCAATTTATTGTAGTTTTACCTGCAAGGAACTGAAAAGCTATCACTGACAACAGCACTGATGATCTTTCTTCCCTCTGGCTGAACACTGCCCGGTAACCTCTTCATTTTCAACAGGAATGAGTGTGTGTAAATCTTTATGGCACCAACAGTCTGTCTACAAACAGAATGAAACCCATCAATACAAAACGGTCTGTGCACCAACAAGCATCAAGCCCATCCATCCATACTGTTGCATTCACAAACCCCTGAGACACATTCAAAATATAAAAGATGTGGCATGTTTTTCTCGTCTCGGAGTCTGTCCTTCACGTTTTCTTCTCTTCTTTTAAATTATCGCTGTGTTCTGACTCTTCCTCAGAGTCTGAGAAAGAGAACAGTCCAGGAAACTTCCTGACTCTAAAGGTTTAGGGTATAGTTTAAACTGAGTTGTATTAGTGTTTAAAAAATTGCACTTTCTTATAAAAAAAATACACAAACACAGTGCAGATACTATTGAGGCTTTTGGCACAGCGAGCTTCCTTTGAATGTTCAGTTTCTGGAGGGTTCCTGCTGAGAACAGACCAGTCTGTCGACAGATGAGGACGAGTAGCGCCCCTCGTCGTCGTCCTTCTCTTCCTCTGTCGCTCTGTGTTTCTGTCTGGGTTCTTCCACCAGCATCTTCAGGCGGTTCAGATGATGCAGAGCTCTGAGGAGGAAAAACATGCATGCTTTACTCACCCTAAACTGGAGTCAAACTGATGTACATACTGTGGTGGTGGATGAAGATGCGTTTAATGTCACCCAAGTTTTTGAAATCTTGTTTTTGAACTATTGGGCTTAGAAGAAGAGGGTGAGGATGAGGAAGAGGAGACCCTATGGGAATGAAAGTGCAGGTGTGTTCTCCATGGATGAGGACTCTGTTTCTCGGGACTGTGAGCCACCACCACCTCAGCTTTCTGAATGCCAACATGAGAACTGAGGGCTCTGAAGGACACCGGATGACTTGTCAGTCACTAACTTACATCCTGTTTTATGATCCTTCTTTTACTTCAAATGTAATAATCACTAGGGCTGTTCGATATAACGATATATATCGGGTGACGATATAAAAACGTCTATCGTTTCATATTGCGGAAAAATATAATGTTTACGGCAATATTTTTTCATCGTTTTGATGGTCATTGTAGTGGTTATATTAATTTGTTAAAGTTCTCTCTTTCCCTTATATTTAATATAACCACACTACGGACGGACAAGCGACTGTTTTTACACGTTGTCGTTAGCAACCACGACGGTAAAACAATGGCGTGGCTCCGCCATCCGCTTGTTTGTTTTGCATATTAACCTTTCCACAATAAAGCTCAAGATCCTGTTGAGACTTTTCAAAATAAACTAAATCCCGTGAAAGAGTATGGAGTGTTTACGGATGAGAAGCAAAAAAGAGCCGCCAGGTGCTAAAAAATAAACCTTAGACTCAAACGTTAGAACAGGCTTTTCCCCGCAGCACGCCGTGTAATAAATACTCACAAAGAAAACGCGGCCATTACAACTTATGTCTAAAAATGTATAAATTCATGCATCGGCTAAAAGTCATAACTCCAGGTACATGACGCCCAGCTGAAAACACTTCATGCAAGTCGAGCTGCCCGAGATTCACAGAATTTACAGAAAATGTTACATTTTTGTGATTTATATCGTTATCGGAATGATAGATGTCTTATATCGGGATATGAGATTTTGGTCATATCACACAGCCCTAATAATCACATTTGACTCAGTAAGACTTTAAACTAGCAACAGAGACCATAAACTCATCGTGAAAGTGTTTACTAATGCTGGGCAGACACGGTACGATTTTTGGCTCATTTTGAGCCGATTTTTCAGTCGTGCAACCGTTTTGGGGATCGGCCCGAGTTTCGCCTTCATCGTGTGTCGTGCATCGCGTAGTATACGTGGGGTAACAGAAGCGATTAACACCTCACGACCAGCTCCCAAATAATCAATCGCTTGGTCGTAAGAAAATCAAACCTGTTTGAAATCCTGTCGGCCGTCGTGAGGGTGTCACCGCAGCCTCTCACACTGCGCACGCACAAACACAGAAATGAAAGTGAAAAGACGGAGTAGCACAGCAGTGCAGCGTGTGATCTGGACACAAGCGATGGAGGCACAACTTGTAGAACTTTGGAAAGCTCATCCGAGCCTTTTCGATGTGGCCTCACAAAATTATCACGACCACAACAACCGTGAAAATAATTGGATGGACATTGCTGATCAATCCCAGCTGCCTTATCAATGTTTTTCATTAGCAATTTAGCAAAGTTGACGGTGGTGGTGTGCGTGTCTGTGTGAGTGAAAGACAGAGAGGGAGAGTGAGCGACAGATTTTCTGTTATAACCTTCATATTATGGACGCACAGTGTAAGCACTCAGGTCGCATCAGAGCATAGAGCATAGAGACCCTGCAACGTGACCTACGAACTTCTAACCCCTGCGAGTCAGTCGTGCAGTTTGAGCAGGAGCTGAATAACGCAAAATCCCACAGTGTTTGCCCAGCTTAAGGTAACAGGTCAAGTAAGATGTTGGGTCACTTTCTCATAGACTTCTACAGACTCTGACTTGTTTCAACAGCCATAGATGTTGCCCCCTGCTGGCCATCGGAAAAACGCAGGATTCACACCCAGAAGCTGACTGTCTTTTATCTAAAATCTGAAAGTAGAACAAAAGGACTTATCTTGGAGTTTTCAAAAATACATTTTAATTTATTATTATTATCATCATCATCATCATCATCATCAGTAGTAGTAGTATTGCTTTGCATCACCAGTGGTTATTCGGCCCATACTCACTATGAGTTACTAAATGTCACTGAGTTTCTAGTTGCTGGCTGCCACATCATTGCTAGTTGTTTCCTGTGTGGACCCCCCTTTGTCTTACAAGACAGGATGGCATTTGATTTCTTGACATAGTTTCTAGTGACGTTTTGAGTAAAATAATGCTTTTAATTTTTGCCTGAAGCAAAAGTGGTGTCTTTGATGCAGTTGTCTTTAAACTGTAAGCACAGGTTATCAGTCCAGTCTCCACATTCTTTCTAAAGGGACAAATAACTTGATCGGAGTCAGTTACCTCTCTAGTGATGGTCTACCAGGAAAACTCTGAAGCTCTTGCAGCTCCTGCAGCTCTGCGTTACCAACAGACCACTGCAACACAAACAGACTCTTAATAATTTAAATCTTGTTTCCTTAAACGTTAAACTCAGACACAGATTAGCATTTTATTATCCACTTTTTCTAAAGATCTGTATCAAGCCAGCCTGGCTCCTTGTACCTGTGTTGCTGATGTCAGCAGCCACTCTGAGAGAGTCAGAGCTGCTGGTGGCTGCTGTTGTCGCTGAAGCTCCGCCTCCACAGCCTGCAGTCTGAACAGCATCTGTTTCAGAGCCTCCACCGGACCAGGCTGCTTCCAGATGCTGTTTTCATGACTCAAATCCTGGGAGAGCACAAACAAAAGGGGGATATTACAAACAACACTAGCTTCAGAAACAACTGTTTTGCCAGTAGATGTAGAGAAGGCCTTCAACTGAGTTGACTAGCACTCATTTGTTCAGCCTTAGGAAAAAAAAACCTGACAACTGGGCTGATCTGGTTTGTAAAAACCCAATAGGCTATCACAAACATTCTGCAACACATGTATGATCACACCAGCGAATCAACTGAATAACAGTGGGACACAATGAGCACAAGCTAATACTGTATACAGATTATGTGATACTTGTTTATTACAAAATTACACAAGTTAGCTCAAGTTATTACAATAAAACCGAAGCAATCAACACAACTACTTTTTACATGAGAAGGGCCACAACTTTTGAAATATTACAGTTTCATTTGGTAGAAAAAAATCACATATTTAGAGACACAAATTGTGCCAATGATGGAATATGAATAAGTTCTCATAGTTATGTGACGAAAAATATTTACAACCCATCCAAAACAGAAATTCAGAATTTACTTTATAAGACCCCCAGTGCTAAACGTATATTTAATAGGTAAATTATTGTGTTTAAAAAGAAAAAACTAATATTGCCTAAAAAGCCTTTAAATTCAACCAGTCTAATGTGAATACAAAGAAAAACTACTGTAGTGAGTCAAACAGGCTCACTGCAGTAGGAGGCCTTGTCCACTGACCTGAAAGGTTAATGTGTTTCACATCTGGGCATCACTCAGGAGACGAGAATAAATGAAAATCACACAATTAGCTGACATTGTAGAACATGACAGTAAACCTACCTCTGCTCCCCTGTCAGTCAGCTCCTCTGTGCAGCCTCCTGTTGCTGAGTCTCTGCAGGGTTAAAATGCCACCACATATATGAGTCTGCGTGGAGTTGCAGCAGATCATAACACACCAGAAGTGTAAATGAGTCTTACTCACAGAGGACAGTGTGAGGGAGAATGGTGCAGCAGCTCCTCAGTTTTCACAGGACTCACTGACAACAACAGAAACAAAGAACTGATCGGATACCTGCTTCATTTCCAGCTTGTTGGTAATAAGTTAAAGTCTGCTTAAACAGTCACAACGAGAACCAGACACAGCTGTGCTTTAAAAAACAACAACAACAAAAACTTTGGTATAAGTGTTATTCAGTGTAAAAGACTTCCTGCTCCTTTGAATGAATCCCGGTTTTACCTGGATCTGCAGGACTCTCTGCTTGTCCAGAACTCCGAGACAGAGAGTTTAACACCTGGTCCGCCTTCTGGATCAGAGACTCGATCCTGTTGTCTGACAGGTGGGAACACACATCAGAAACAAGTTTAGCAAAGAACAAAAACAACAACAAAAAAGAGAAAAGTTTAAAAGAGTGAAAGGTTGTCATAGGAGGTGTGGTTGAAAGGGGAAAAATAAGAAAATAAGACTATATGAATTGAATTTGGCCAGTCTCATGTTCAAGAGGATCTTCTCTTGTACCTCTTGACCACGTTCTGTACAGCTGCTAGTTTTAGATCTCTGTTTAGTCCCAAGTTCCAGAATTGAGTCAGTCCCCAACAGTTCTCTGACCTGAACATCTGAACCCTGTTTGTGCTGCTGGAGCCTTTTGGAGCATCTAATATGGCTGCTGTGCAGTTAATTGTATGAACAGATTGTCTAAGAACACTGGGGTCTAGTGAAGGTGAGTGAAGAATTGAATTTGGGTGTTACTTGGCACTAATTAGCAGCCATCTCCGTCAGTGTGTGTGATGCACTCATACACTGATATCTGAAATGTGGTGACTTCAGGCTCTAAAGACAATATGTTGGCATCTGAAGCAATAACACCTTCAGAATACAGAATCCAAACCCAGTTAGTGATGTCATTGTGATTATGGCCTTCCGTGATATGCAATCAATGAGTAAAGAATGACTAAACAATATTCAACAGTGCAATAATCCAATGTAATGTATTTTTTTCGTCGACTCTAGGATTAGTTTGTTTTTCAGAGCTGAGTATTGTCTGTTATTAGTCCATCTATCCATCAGCCCAAGCAAAGAAGCCCAGTCATTTTAACTCTTTGCTTTACATGATTTTAAACTTTTTAATGACCTGCAGGAACCCTGATTTGCCTCTGTGATGGTCACTGGGTCTCTTTTGTGCGTCAAAGCAGTAAACCTTTAACTGTACTTTAACTTTAATTTATATTTTCTGAAAGTCACACGAATAGAGATCGGAAAGTTATGTTTGTGGTGATTTACAGAGAACAATTCCGGACCTATTTTGTTTACACCTCGAATTTTTAACATTACATACTCAAAGACTTGTGTTTTTACCTTGGTACATGTTCATCACAACGTCTGAGCTCTTCCTCTCTGTAGTGAGCAAAGAAATCTGTTCAGCAAACTGAAGCCTCAGGTCTCTGAGCGCCTGCTGGCTGCCAACCTAAGCACACACAGAGAAAACCTATTACTTCATCAACTGACCGATGAAGCTCTTTTTCTGCCTTTGGGACACACATGTGACAGAATGTGGTTTATTTAGAGCACTTGACCACATCATAAGGCGTTCTTTAACACACAAAGAGTCCAGAGGAAAGCACAGTTCCACAGAAGCTCTACAGTCTTCATGAACAACGAGAGCAGCAGGACCATACAACTGACAGTTGCGCTGCAGCTGCTTCTCTCACCTCTGCAGGTGTCTGGTCAGGATCTTCATCTTTCTCCAGGTCTGCTACCCAGGATGGAGCTCTGGTTCTGGGAGATCCAGGTGGGAGAACGTCTGGAAAAAACAAATATGACCCTTTCAAATAAACAGAAAATAGTCATAGTTTAATGGTGAAATTACTTCCCTGGGATAGACTCCACCCACCCAGTCCAATATCAAATTCAACATTTCCCCTCACTAGATCAGTTTTAAAAGCTCATATTTATGACTCTACACACTGATGGGCTGCTTAATATAAAATAATAAAGAATAACCTATTAATAGATTTATCTTTAACATTAATAATCACAATCTGTTAAATGATGATGAAATACTATGACATCTTGGAAGGTTTGTGCATATGTAGTCAAGGAAGCTACCGTGGTCGTCCCACAGATCTGACTGTGCAGGCGGCTCGCTGAGGTCACACCCCTGGAGCCATGCTGGGTACTTCAGGTCGGGCACACTGGTGATTCCCGAACAGTCCAAGTCAGCCTTGTTACTGGTGAACCAGTGAGGGAGGTGGAGCGACGAGGATACCGGGGCCTGCTCTGATCTCTGAAAAGGGGAAGCAACTGTGTTTATGACACTGCTACAGTCTCAGAACAATCCAGAAAAGACAGTGAGGGTCACCTTAAAACTGCTGATGTGAGCACCTGGTTTAAAAGTGGCGGCCCTCGGCCTGTCTCTGCACCTAGGGAGGAGGGGAAAGTAATAACCTGTAACTCAGATCGACCAGGAAATATGCCTGGTCGATCTGAACGAGAAAGGAAGCAGTTCAAACCTGGAGCTCCTGGACGTCGTCGGTGGAAGAGAGTGATGGTGGAGGAGTCTACAGGTAGATGAGGGGCAGGTCTGGGAGGCTGCAGGCCAGGACAGGAGGTCTGGACCAGCAGAGGAGAGGAGTGAGGCAAAAGTCATCACTTCTGTTATTACTGAATCATCTATGGATTATTTAATGTTGATTATAGAGTCTGAGCTGCAGAAGTTATGCGTTTAAAGGCAGATGCCAGGATGTTTTTAGGTAAAAGTGGTGGATTTAATGACATGAATGAAGACTACATTGTAGATGTTTTTAATGAACTGGTATAAGAGCAGATTCTTGATTGTCACATTTAAAAACTTCAGACTGAGAAAAATGGTGAGGGATGCATTTACTTCCAGCTCCACATTTTCAGTCTTGGACTCTACGAAATCACAGATCCCTACTCTTAATGACATCATACAGATCAAAGAAAACTAAAAAATGTACAAACACGTGTTTAAGAGTTTAAAGGTTGAGTATGAAATGTGTAAAAACCTTGGATGAAGGCGGTGGTGTGGGTGATGGGCATCGAGCCGTCGAAAGGGACGGACAGCAGTTCATCTGTTGTCATGGAGTGTCTGTCCCAGTTAACGCGGTGATGGAGGGGGCTCACGGGGAGGTTCAGGAAGTCTAGCTCTCTCTCGGTCAAACGCTCCCTAAGAACTGAAACAAAAAGAGAAAAATGCAATGTAGATGAATCACTCAGATAACATAAAACCACAGAAGACATAAAAAGCACCAAGATATATCAACGTTATAAGATACCTGACCCTCAGCAGGACCTACCATCTTTGTTTCTGAGCGTGCCCACTCTGTGCCTGCACGGAGTGGAGGGTAGGTTCTGTGGCAGAACCAGCTTTCCAGTCAACGACGAGTCGCGGTTCTGACGACTCCTCTCAAAGTCTTTGATGTAAGCGTCCAGAGCCGCCGAAGCCGAGTCATACTCCTGCAATCAGACAGTAGTGTAGGCTTCCTGTTTTAAAATCCTCATCACTAAAGTTTTTGATAAGAAAAGAACAACAAATTTCAGACTTTTTAAAAATGTTTTCCCTCTCACATAAATGTTTGAGTTATCTCTCATACACCTCTCACACACTTCCTCATGAACTTCACATGAATTTACTCTTTTCTTTTAAAACAAATTCACATATTTTTTTCTGAATTTACCAGTTTTTCCTCAATGTTTTACTGGAAAATGAAACAATTTTAAACTCTGTCACAATCAAAAAGAGAACATCATCATTTGTCAGGAGAGAAGCTCTCCTGATAACACCCAGAACAGAACCCAGAAACAGATAAAATAACAAAGGGAGATTTCTTCATTCTGTCCATTCCTGCTGTGGAAAGTAATCCCACCCACTCTGTCTTTGTATCTGAAGCTGGTGTCGTGTTGAGGAGGCAGCAGGCTGCTCCTCAGGTAACCTGAACTGGATAGTAGGGAGGTCACCGTGGACTCTGGTGACAGAGAGTGGCCCAATGGACCGCTGTACTCCATGCTGTCAAAAAACAAGAAGAGTACATTTTAAATCGCTAAACGTCGAGGGAATAATGGTTAAAATGTTTACAGAGGTGTTAAAACTGTTATCAGCATTTGTTTATTCACAGCTGACATGCCCAATCAGAGCCATGCCAGCTGTGATTTAAACCTTCCACAAGTAGGCGTGGAGCTACCTGTGCAAAAGCAGCTGTTTGAGACGTTAGAAAGCTAACCACCTTGCGGAGTATGTGTCAGGTTGTTGTCAGTGATAGCTTTGCCGGTTTTCGCTTTAAACGGGACAGTAAAGGGCTTTCTTTAGACTGCGTTTGTTTGCTAGCTTGCCTTTAGCCGAGCTCTGAGCTATGCAGCAAAAACCCCCAAAAACATCGAACAAAAAATAAACTAAACAGACCGTTACATGGCAGATTTAAACCCCATACGTACAGCAACAGTTTAGTGTTTATACAGAGTTTATAACGTGCTACACAAATGTTTCTGGCTCAACGTACTCACAAATGTCGCAAAAGTTTTCTCACTGATGTTAAAGTTCAACTTAGCAGCGCTGCTAGGTTGTTAACGGAAATCTTAACCAGGCACTTCCTCAAACTTCCTGAATCTTTATCAATTAAAACAAATATAAAACACTCATACTTCTACTCCGAAATGCCTCCTTTTCACTGTACTCCGTGCCCAACCCTTTTGCGTACACTGACGCTTGCAAATTCAAAGGATCCCGGGTAAAGCTAGCTCACAGTTAGCCGGAGCCACTTCCGGTACCCGGCAGACGCTGCCACCAAACTCCGTTAAAAGAATCTGGTCATTAATAATAATCATAGTATCGGTAAACACATGCTTCATATATAAGTACGGTTTACACAGTTAAGGTGTGTTATGATCTTAAGAAAGTTTCGGTGTCTGTTACAGACAGATTAATATGTTTAACTACCGCCATCAGTGGCTTATCGTGATGCAGAAACATGGTATACATGAGTGAAAGAGCAAATAAAGTTTACATTATATTAGAACGCATAATCGTTTGTGTGTGTAAGATATGCCGAATTTAAAGATGAACTCCGTTGAGTTATGAAAACAAGTCCACGTGAATGCCCCCAAAAAAGAGAGAAAAATTGTCTTGTTTTATTTCTAAAATTCAATTGTAAGCAATTATTGCACTGACGACAGTATAATGATTTGGTGTCACCGGAATTATTATTATTCCCCTTCTTCCGTCTCTGAGTGCGCCACGGTGTCTGAGGAGGTGTTAGTGAGAGCAGGGAAAGGAGAGGAGACACTGTTGAGACTGGAAAAACAGCGGTCAAGACTCCCACACAGAGTTGAAATGTGTGTGTGTGTGTGTGTGTGTGTGTGGGGGGGGATTATATACAGTTTAATGTTGGGATTAAATTATTAAATTGAGATAATTGTGATAATCTACCCACCACCACACACCCACACACAAGAGTTGAAAAGACAATATTAACACGACACAACAAGAGTAATAAAAATAATAATAAACTAATAAAGCTTTCGAATATCACTGGTAGCAGGACTTAATTCCTTCAGATAACTTATTAATGTGTTGTTAATTTACTGGACTAATTAAAGTACATCTAGCATATAACCATTTTAAAAACATCATGCTCATTTTTTGTTTAAAAAAACCATTTTGTTGAAATTCACCAATTTATTTATTTATTTATTTGTGTATTTATTTCGGGGGGCACCATTAATTTATACTAAAAGGCTGCATATTTAACACCCTGTTTGTTCTGTCCTGTGATAACTTCATAAGCAGAAGGGCACGTCTTCCTTTTCATCACTACTGGTTTAGTTACATTGTAAAAAACCGTTTTTACAAAAAAATCCGCTTTCACTTCTTTCTCAGAGAGAACTGTAGGTTAGCCATGTTGGGACGACCAAGTATTTTTCCGGGGTTCCTGTCTCTGCTGCAGGCCCCTTTAACCCAGAGTTTGTGACGTCAGTGAGCCAGGAGGTGTGGGGATGTTGAATAACACAGAAAGAGGGATCACTCCCCCTGAAACTGCAGGCACCAGAAAGCACCAGCATAACATGTCGACACAAACTTATCGCATAGACGAAAATATAAGGCCATCTGGGAAATTAAAAAACAAACAAAAAAACAACACGACAAAAAACAAGTGTAAGCAGAGGTATTTTCCTCTTAAAAGGAGTTCTTCCTCCCTAATTGTTGCCAAATACCACTCATCAGAAATCATCTGATTATTGTGTTCTGGCACCAATCGGGGTTGGTGTCAAAAGACGTGGATAGGGTAGATAACCAACTTTTTTGCCTCTTAGTGGACCAACCAGAGGACAGAAAAAAAGAGGACAGAGGACACAGAGTAGAGAACGGAGCGATAGGATGGGATAACTGTAAAGTCTGAAAAGCACAGAGTGTGTTTGCAGTGACACTTTTCATAGTTTTTAACACTCACTGCATGCCTGCCCCTCTCTCTGCTCGACCATGAAACAGTTCCAGATGTCTGTGATTCATTTTTGGGGAGTGAATGTCTATAGTCTAAAATGTGGAATCAAAAATCAGTGGCTACCTCCATCTTTAATATGCAGTCTATTGTACTCCCATAGTGCCATGGTCGATTAAGTTGATCAGACCTTGCAAATATTGGGTTATATGTTTCCATGACGAATTCAGTTCATGGTTGTTTATTTATTTATCTATTTTTGCAAAAAAAAATTGTGACTTTCAAATAATATTCAATTTTATTTTGAAAACAATAATTTTTTATTATTATTATTATTATTATTATTATTATTATTATTATTATGCAAACGTTTACAGGTTTATTCATACCTCAGACTATAGATTGATAGAGTCTGTTTCACCTAAACTAACACCGAGTGAGTGTTCTGATCTCAAGACGATCTCTGGGGGAGTGTGTCTGTGCGTGTGAGCGTGCGCGTCTGAGTTTAATCGCGGTGTGTGTGTGTGTGTGTGTGTGTGTGTGTGTGTGTGTGTGTGTGATATCTCAGACGTCACAGCCTGCCGTTGGTCCAGTTCAGTTCAGTTCAGTTCAGTTCACTTTAGATCAGATCGGATCCCCGGATGAGCCGTTGCTTCTCTCAGGAGGTAAACTGAAGTAAACCCGGACCTGGAGGCGGTTTAACCCGGAACAGCCCGAACCGGAACACTGTGTTTGTTTCTGTTCGACCCAAAATAAGCAGCATAAACAAGCAGGGCGGAGGGAGTGTGAGAGCCACCGTTAACGTAACGTCCGTGACGTCGCTCCGCTGGTTTTTCACCAGCACGCCGCGCGTCTGGGGGGTCCACGCCGGGATTTACCAAGTGATCGATTAATCCGACAGGAGCCTGAACCGTGGGATCGGTACACGCGCTATGATGGAGAGAAAGAGGACGGACTGTCCCGCTCTGCCGCCCGGTTGGAAGAAAGAAGAAGTGATCAGGAAGTCCGGGCTGAGCGCCGGAAAGAGCGACGTCTACTACTACAGGTAGCCCATCACACTAATCGATCAGTGGTTACACAGCAAACCGATAATCAGTCAGCAGTTCGGCTGTGGTACCAATGCTGACTCTGGACTGTTTGTGAGCTCACCTCTGTTCACACTCAGTGGACCAACCAGAGGCTCGGCTTCAGTCTGAGAAGTTACAATGTAGTGCACAGTAGCAAAGTAGCCAATCAGAATTCATTCTTAATAACAGCATTACAACAATGTAACAATGTCTGTATGACCAGAGTTGTGGCAGCAGGGGGCCAAGAACAGCTGGATGACCGAAGCAAGCCAAACCAAAGTGCTTGAACATTGGTGGGAAGTTCATCCAGATATTGAGATTACAGTGGACACACCTCATACCTCCATAAATGTGCAATAAGAGCAAAAATGAAACCAATAACGAAAACTAAAAGAAACCCTGCAGTTTCTCTAAAGTCCACCTGAGGCAGACTTTCAGAGTAAGTCAATTTCCATAGACTCCAATATTAAAATGTCTGACTTGAACGTGTTCACAGTTTTCGTTTTTAGAACTTACTCATTTGGGTTTTATCAGGGCTTAAATATAGGTTTCAAGGCCTCACGTTTGTCAGCTCATTTGACTCTTTAAATTGAACCTCTCTATTTATTCTTTTGATCCCATTAATGCCAGTAAATGACAAATAAAATGTCTTTTTGTGTGGTTAATTGTAGTGACAGACCATCCACACACACATACACACAAACTCTAGTTTTGACAAGTGACGTTGTAGCTTTTAGTCAGTTAAATAGAAATAGTAAGCATCTGCTATCTAAATCCCAGAATGTTGATTAATTTAGTCTGACTTTATTAACAATACACTTGCATAACCACCATTGCTTAACAATGAATTGTCATGACCGTTAATGGCCCTGAGTACTATTCACAGAGGTGGCCGTTACCTTTTCACATAAGCTGCCTTCTTGACCTCCTTAAGTAAAAAAAGGGGAATGACAATCTTTGAGCCAAAGAGGGAATCTAAGAGGACATCTTTCAGTATTGTTTAGTGCTGTGATTGCAGCCATTCTCCAACTCTCAGTGAGTAGTACTCGTGGTCATTGATTAACTGCTGTGACAATTTGCATATGAATGAGCATGAAACTGATCTGATCTGCTCATTGTTATGCAATGGTGCTGGTTTAGATCGTTATGCAGTTGTACCGTTTTTAAACTGGGGGAAACCTGCAGAATGCTGAGCCTGGAGTCACTTGGAAGAACAAGTTTCTCCCACTGAAAATGTTTGGTTCAAACAGTGTAACCAAGTTAACATTAGCTGGTAAGTTAGCACTCCACTCCTTGACATGTCTAGCTCCAAAAAACCCGAATGGCGGTGGACAAAATTCTAACACTGAATCTGCAAAATATGTCATCCAAAATGGTAAATGGACCTGTTCTTATATAGCACATTTCTACTCTACTTGAGGACCCTCATTTACCCATTCACACCCATACACCTATGCTGTTTTTTATATAAGTGCTTTCTGTCAAACATTTACATTTAGATTGATGGAATTAGTATGCATCATGAATGTTACAACAAAGGTGGACGATATGCCTGGTGCTCAGTAGTTGACTTTCTGTCGGACTCTGGGACCACGGCGTTGCATTTTGTAGCCATTTCCATTGTTGCTGTGTTTTCTGGGGCTTTTTTTATATTACAAATTTCCTTTTTGATTTCAGTGAATGAGACACTCTCCTAACTCATTGAGTGTCGGCACAGACTAGCCAATCGTTGGCCTGCAGTTTGACGACATCACATTTCAGTACCTACTTGGTTCGCCTTGGAACCCCGGCCGAGCAGGTCTATTTGAGTAGAAACTAATGGAAAAGGGGCTATAGTGGTCACCTTTGATATACAGTCGATGTATAAATTGTTTTTGTAACTGTTTCTTTATCAACCTTAAGGAGAGTCTGAATCTGAAAATGTATCATGGTGTCTCGCTTCAGTGCCACTTGTACATCTATTTAACGTCTCCTGACAGCCACATGACTCCCTTATTGACATATGCTGGGTAAAGAACAGCATGTTGCACTGATACCAGCGGGCATCGTGTAAAGCTATTATCTCCAAATGCTGTACAGTAAGATAACCACTCATTCTAGCTGGGTTAGGCCTCTCTCCTGATGTTGTCAGAGGCAAACTACTGTTGGAAATGTCCATAACACTGAGGATCCTGTCCCTGTGCCCAGACAGCCAACCGTCTGCTTCATAAAGCTGGGAAACGTAAAGCTGGGTGTGCCATTTGTGCTGCTGTTGCCTGAGTTAGCTGGAAGAGACTGTGGAAGTTTCACTTCAACTTTCTATAATAGCTTTTTAAATAGCCTTGAAGACAAGCACAGCAGCTGTGACGGAACTGTGTCCTGTTCAAATAATAGACTGCAAGATGAATTTTACTTTCTGTGTTTTGTGTAAAGCACATTTAAACACAGCTTTCATGGACCATAGTGTTGTATAAAGTATGCACATTCATATACACACTCATGTCATTACATGAAAAAGTAAAAATGGACACAGAATACAGAATTATCAAGCACCAGCACCCAGCAGTGAGCTGGGGAGGTCTGGGAGTAAAGGTGGATTCTGACCTGACTTCAAAGCAGAGATGGAGGTCACCTTTTACAGCAGGTAATAACTGATTCCACAAACATGGAGCAGTGCCTGCCAAAGCTCTGTCACCGTTTTGTTTGAGGTGTGACCTTGGGACATGTAAGCGATCTTTACCAGTGGATCTGAAAAATCAGAGGACTTGAATGTAAATGAATGAGGCTGGTGAAGTGGGGCTTTAGAAGAAATCAGTAGGTGATCTCGGGTTTTCCTGGCTCAAAATGGGTCTTTAGTGGTGAGTAGGATCACATACATTTAAAGGCAATGGCTCTGTGTTATCTTACAGAGCACAAATCTCTGCATTTCCCCTGTCACTTAGGCTTCAGTTTTTTTTCCTAATTTGTAATTTCAGTATATTACATTTTGTTTTCGTTTCGTTGTTAGTTTTTCGTTCGCTCTGATTAGTGTAGATTTATTTTGAAGAGGGCGTACATTAAAGGTATTTTCTGTAATTATTCAAATGTAAATATTTCACCACCAGGGGCCAGACCTCAAGAGGCCTGGCTTTTTTCCCATGACGCAAGAGTGCACTCTTTTACCTGGTTAATTAGAAGTTAAAACGAATCCTTGTGCCGTGCGACAGACTGGCGACCTGTCCGGGGTGTGACCTGCCTCTCGCCTTAGGCCCACTGAGATAGGCTCCAGCTTCTCCAGCAATCCCAAATTGACCAAGCAGAAGAGAATGGATGGATGACTCATTGCACCATGTTGTGGTACAAGTTTGTATTGCATCAAAGTACAGTTCAGCCACAGTTCAGCTTGAGTTTATATCTCTTTTAGCACAACACATAAATGAGTGGGACATAAAAGAGTTACCAAAAATGTGTTGCATAAAGTATTTCTATCATGCTTTTTACTACTGCTACTACTACTAGCAGTGCTCTATGACACTGCAAATTTTACTGTCGCTGTATTTACTGTATTGTCAAGTAAACACAGGGCTGTTCTTGCCAATACCAATACTGATAGTGTTACTTTTAAGCTATAAAAGGTATCTGATCACTAAATCACTGTTATTCTGACTTTCCACCGGAATCAGTTACTAAAACAAAACAGAACACACTTTTTAGCTTTTCGTTTGTTTTCAAACTATGTTTTTTGGACATCTGGGATATAAAAGTGTCTGTCTCTAAAGCACTTTGGGTCACCTTCAGTTGTTTTAATGTGCTGTAGGCTATAAATAATAAAGATGTAACAGTCGATAAGAAAAGGTCAGACATTTTTCATACTACATATTCATTTCCTAAATAAAATACTTTATTTGCTGCATACGGAACATAGAGGATAGAAAGCAAGTATCGACCGTATTGGGCTAATATTGATCCAATATCAATACCAGCATATGTATTGATGTTATGAATATTTGGTGGCAGTTTCTTTAAATTCTAGTGATATCCTTTGAGAATTTTTGGATCTTTAGAATGATTTTGAACACAGCTAAAGGTCATGTTAGCTGGAATCATATGGTCACAAAACACACAAATCAGGCATCATTTTGCAAATGCATGTGATTGACATATGAAGGAGGACATGTCCATGCACCCTAATCACAACATCTCTGTGTTGTAGTAAATTATGAAAAATAAAATCAGTTGAGAGTGAGATGCAGGGTCACTTCTATTTCACTGTTTCTGCACTTTTCTTGCCCCCCGCGCTTCTCTTATCCAGTAATGTGCATTCAGGCAGGAAAACCTCAGCGTCTGTGTCTCTCTGCCTCAGAAATACTCCTGCCTCAGCTCTTCTCCAGAGCAGATTAAAGTTGAGTTTGGAGCGCTGCTTGTTACGTTTTTCCTTTTTGCTCAGCATTCTGCGTCAGATCGCAGAGGAAGTTGCTCCTGGTGCAGCTCTGCGGCATCGTAGCCTTGCCGCAGAGCCGGTGGCTGTTCTTTACTTCCTGTTGATCTGCACAGCTTGGGCCTGTCACTGTAGCAGCTCAGAGACGTCTGAGCTCCGTCACATCCTGAAGGCTCACTTTCAGTTTGGTTTGAAGTGACTCATCACTTCCAGTAAGAAAACCAGTCACAACAGGTCAGTTTACTGGAAGAGCAGCAACGCCCTGCTGAGGCCTCTACCGGTTTCACAAACTCATGTTTATCAGGACCCTTTTTTTACCCTCCACACCCACACGGAATAATTTCAGGCCATAAGGAAACACAGAGTCTTTCAGTTATAGACCGTATAATATTATCCTGACTAACACTAGAGACACTCGGTGAAATGCTGGAAGAAGAGTAAAACTAACTCTTGCTTCTGTTGCTGCTGCCTATGTAGACACTAAAGCTGGTGCACCAGAAACCCAGGGTACGAGATGGTACAGGTATAATCAGAAAAGGTTTATTCCTAGGCAGACGAGGAGACGCCTCCTGTCCCTGTCTCTTCCCTCCACTGGGTTCGTCACGTCCCAGCCCAGCTTACACTGTGCACTGGAGTCTGTCGCTCGATGCCACCACTTTTATCCCATGGCCAGCCAGTCCACAGTGGATTAAACAATGTTTCCCCAATGTTTCACTGGCTCCCAGTGAAATTCCAGATAAAAACAAACTTGTTCTGCTCACCTTCAAGGCCATAATCTTGCTCCTCACATTTCTAATCTGTTAAGCACTACCTCTTCTGGCTGCTCACTTCGATCCTCTTTTTCTATCCAGCTTGCTGTGCCTCCTTTCCGCCTCAGCACCATGGGAAGCAGAGCTTTTAGCTGCTCTGCTCCCAGGCTATGGAACTCTACCCCCAGATATAAGACAGATTGGTTCTCTCCTCCAGTTTAAATCTCAACTTAAAACCCATCAGTTCAAAGCTGCATATTCATACCAACCCACTGTTTGTTCATTTTATCCTGTGCTTTTGTTTTTATTGTTCTTCATTTTGTCATTGTCCTATTATGTGTTCTATTCTATAGTTAAGTGCCCTTGGGTGTCTTGACAGGGTCTTTATAAATAAAATGTATTATTATTATTGTTGTTATTAGAAAACCACTAAAACATGCAATACAAACATTAGAATGAAATCATGCAAATAAAAACTACACTCACAAATAAACACTAAAATCAAAACATTATTATAAATTAATTATAAAAGACAAATACAAATTTCCACTGTGTGACACCTAAATGAATGGGTCTGTGCTGTTACACACTGGACCTCTACACCTTTGATTACCCTGAGGACACACTCACATGCGTATATGAGGTTTGCTGGCATTCATTGATGCACGGCTCTCTTAAAGTCCTCTATTAAAGCATGTAAGTCAGGTTGAGTTCAGGATTCTCCCTGGACCATTGCAGCACCTCTATTTCTTTCTTTTTAGTGATTCAGTTATAGATTAGCTGCTGTTCTAGGGATCATTGCCTGTTGCATGACCCAGTTTGGGGCCAAGCTGTAGCCGCAGGATAGATGGACACATTTGACTCTAGATTCCCTTTGTATAGAGAGGAGTTCATGGTCCACTCAGTGACTGTAAGGTGCCCAAATCCTCAGCACTCCGCCGCTGTGCTGACAGTTGGTCTGAGGTGTTTGTACTGATATGCTGTGTTTGCTTTTCTCCAAATATGGTGTTGTGCGCTATGGCCAACCAGCTCCCCTTTGGTCTCGTCTGGTGGTTTGTTCAGATGCAGCTTTGCAAAGCTTAACTGTGCTGCTGTGTTCTTTTAGAGAGAAGAGCCTTCTCCCCTGGCAACCCATCCCAAACAAGTCCTACTCGTTCTCTTTTTTTCTGATTGTGCTGTTATGAACTTTAACATTTAACATGCTGACTGAGGCCTGCGGAGTCTGAGATGTAGCTCTTGGGTTTTTTTTTGCACTTTCAGTTTGACTTTCAGGTGAATTTGCTGGGATGTCCACTCAATACTGGCGACTGTCTTGAATGTTTTCCACTTGTGAATAAGCTTTCTCACGGTAGAATGAAGGACTTCAGATTGTTTGGAAATGGGATTATAACCAAAGGAACAGGGTTTTTCACTCAGCTACAAACATCGCTTTGCATGATTTACAGCTCATAATAATCCATATTTATGGTACAGCCTCTCATCTCCAAAAGTTGATTCTGTTCATCTGGACGTAGCGTTTTCAGTGGGAGAAACATTTAACCACTCATCCAAGTGACCTCTTCAGTCTCAGCTGACTGCAGGTTTCCCCAATCTTATAAACAGTACATTTGCATAATGACTGAAGAAGTCACTTGGATGAGTGATGAAATGTTTCTCCCACTGAAAACGCTACGTCCAGATGAACAGAATCAGCCTTTTGGAGATTTACTTACCTGGATATGCATCAAGATGTTTACAGCCTCTCAGTTCATGTTCTGTCTGAATTTTTTTTTATCCCTTTAATTCAGCTTTCCTCTCATTGACTCTACCTTACAAACAAACAAACAAACAATAAATAAATACTCCGCAGGTGGGAGGGGAGTTTGTACTCACTTTCTGAGATGACTATATTACGTATATCCCCTCTATTTGACATAATACTGAGCGAAGAGTGGAATAAGGAATAAGTCTTAGCTTCCAGCTCACAGGGATTACCTGTACACACACTGACCCCAGGCCATGTTAGGCACTCATCATTGGTAATGTAGTATAGGTTCTCTTTATGATGTTATAAGTATGACTTTTTAATGATAGCGTCCTTTCCATTTTATCCTCCAGTCCTTCAGGAAAGAAGTTCCGGAGTAAGCCCCAGCTGTCCCGTTACCTTGGAAATACAGTGGATCTGGCATGCTTTGACTTTCGCACGGGCAAGATGATGCCCGGAAAACTGCAGAAAAACAAACAGAGATTCCGACATGACCCGCTGAGCATGGCCAAGGTAACCCAGATGGATCACACCTGTGTGGGAGTGACTGTGTGTGTATTGTGCTTTAACAGATTATCAGATTAACAAAACTCTTCCGGCAACAGGTCGAAAGGTCACAGGGTAACAAGAACTTTGTGCTTGTTTATCCATCGTGTGAATATACCTGAGTCACACAGACTTATTTGCATAGATAAAAACCCAGCAGCTGAACCTCATGTTATTGGAGAGTCAGAGAGAGTGAGAGCGGATTGAGATGATATTCTGTTTGATAGCAGGGTGATTTTATGCACATGTGACCAGGTTACTTCCTCAAACAGAGGAAGTAACCTGGTCACATGTGCATAACAAACATCAGATTCCTGGTTAAGCTCAGACCTGTTTCTCCACATGCTCAAATACATGATTTCTATGTATTGGGGGAGAATAGGGCCTGCATCCTTTCTGAAATATACACCGGTGGGGTACTTGGATGATGTCTTAGACCTCATAGGCTTCATTTACGCTCCAAATTATCCATGTCGACTCAAAAGCTGACTGTGTGCACGTCCACATGGAAGTGTAATCCCAGCAGTCCTGTTATCAGGGACAGCCTGGGTATATTGACCCGGATGTATTTTGCCCTCCTCGGTTTTACAGCCTTGAGCTTCCTTGGTTTGCTCACTGTTGTCACTTTATTTTTCCCTTTTGCGTATTTTAAGTCTTTTTTTACCTCCATCTCATGGATATTTAGACTCAGATCTTAACCCTGGGAGGGCTAAATTTAAAGTCAGGTAAGGATTTTTAGTTCTGGAAATGTAGAACAAGCCTAATGTTCACACTGAAAAAGCTGGTCATAACCCCTTTATTCATAAATTACTGTCTTTGAGCCTTCTCCTTATCTTGCCTGAGATTTGTTTGGGCATTGTGAAAGTGGGAGAAGTGGATGATTAGTTAAAATAGTTAGTCAGTAGTTAAGGACGAAGTAAGTGGGGTACAGTTAAACGGACGCTTCTTAAACCATGATGTAAAAATAAAAGAAGAAAATCAAGAGGAGGGAAACCCAAACAGAGTGAAATGACATCATAAATCAACCAATCAGCTGTCTCACATGCAGTTTGGACTCACAGATTTCCATCTGGATATGTCAAATGGGTGAAAATTCCAAATAAAAGGAGTTGTTAGATGTTATAAGAGGTTAAAACTTGGTTTTTAGCCCCATAAATAACAACATAATGATAACAATGAAGACAACTGGGAGCATGTTGGTGGCTTTAGATGAAAGCACAAAACCTAGTAATGGCTTCTTCAAAAGTCCATAAACAGACAAACGTTACAAGCAAACACATAAATTATGAATCCTAATGAATTTATGGGCTACAGGGATTCTAGAGCTTTGAGGAAACATCGGACTCCCTCAGTGGATCTTTTTAAAGTTGATTTTCTTCTAATACTTTGAAAACACAAAAAGGAGATATGTATTCAAAGTCGACTTGTCTACTTCCACTCTGGTGTCTTAATTAACACTCGTCCTAGTTCAGGATAATCTGAATGGTAGTTTGCGCTGGGCCCGGCCCGAGCTTGTCTCCACCTTCAGGGTGTTTTCGCCCAGAATCGACATGCTGCTTTTGATTTGTTTTGCTCTGGATGACTTCTCTTCTTCAAGACCAATCTGCATCATCATTTTGGCTCTGACTGGTGTCGGTTGTTTGTCTCATTTATTTCTTGTCTCGTTGATCTTGTCAGTGTTATGATCTAAAATGTGCCATGGCCATCTGCGTTTTAAATTGTGGGTGTTAGATCTGCTCTCTTTGCCTTTTCTCTGCGGCACACAAATAGGGGAACCACTTAGGTGGTCTTGACTACAGACCTGGTAAGTTCACATGTAAACTGTGGAGAAGTTAAGGAGAATTAGGGTGGGATTTTTTCCCACAGTTGTCCTTTCATACATGAAGCACAGCAGGAAATAGTCAGTTTTCTAACTGCTGGAAATGACTACTGCTGGAAATGACTGGGAGATGACGCCTACTCGCTGGCGGTGAATGTCTGGTTTTGGCTAGAAGAGTTCAGAGCTGCAGTGCATGTATGAAACAGCTTCAGACTAGATAAATCCTCCAGATCGGCCTCTGTAGAGACTGTAGATTGAAGGTGTGAAATGTATTTTAAATGTGTCTGGGCAAAAACACATTGTGCTCAGTTAGAGTAAAAAGTGCTTTATAAGTATCAATCCATTCAACATTTACTGTGATCACTGACTGTAATCAAACATAGACTGTGTATGGTTGTTTAAGTGGATAAAGTGTGGACCAATCAGAGGTGGATTAGGGTGAAAAAAATAGCGCCTGCGGAGAGAGGCGAGCCATAGCAAGATTTACTTGCTAAACGGATAATCTACACATCCTCAGTGTTAATTTCAGCATGTATGTGTTTGTGTGTGTGCTGTATGGACACGGTTCGCAACCCTGTACTGCTGCTCTTCACACTTCATTACTTATGGGCACAGAGACACACAAACACGCACTTCCTGTTGTTGTCTCAGCTTAGAGTTAACCCTTTAAGCTTACATCAAACACTCACAGAAACAACCACAGGTTTAATATTTCTGCCTCATGTATAGGAAGGTAAATGTGACCTGTAAGGAAGAAAAGAACAGGAGAAAGCTAAAGTAAAAGAAGGATAAAAGGGAGGAAGGACAAGAAGGTGGGAGGGAAGTCAGGGAGCAAAAGAAACCAAACACCAACATTCAGATTCGTGTCTGTCTTATGCAGGGAGGGAAACCAGACCTGAACACAGCTCTGCCCATCAGACAGACGGCCTCCATCTTTAAACAGCCCGTTACCAAGGTTACGAGTCACCCCGGAAACAAGGTGAAGACAGACCTGCAGCGAGCGATCGAGCAGCCCAAACAGGTGAGACGCTGAAACACACACACACAAATACACATACAGGTAATTCAGGAGGGCGAGGTCAGGCTCTTACATAAGAGACGGCTGTGAGGAGGAGAAGAGTGTAATGACAGCTGGAACCACTAGAGGGTGCTGAAGCATCATGGGAAAAGCAGCACACGGAGGACTGAATGATGATTGGAGGGAGAGAAATATGTTGGGTAGAATGATACTGTTAATGAAAGGTGATAAAATATGCATTTAAGCCCCACAGTTCTTCTATTCTAAGACATTCATTTGGGTTCACAGACTAGATGAAAATGAGCTCTTTTTCTGCCACTGAACAGTAAGAGGTTAGCATCCATCAGACTGCCTGCAACATCTTTAGAGCTAGAGTCCAACTTACCCCTCAGTATCGAATTTTTTCCTTGTTGGAACTCTTCACTATAAAAGTTTTTAACAACAGTACTGTTGTCTTTTAACTCTGTCCAGTTAAAGCAGAGCAGCAGGAAAGGAACCTGGTTCCATTATCCTGTTAACATCCTCCAGGTCCCTGCTGACCCATCTACATCCAGCCCTGTTTAAAACATTAAACCATGAGGCTAACATTAATGTGTGAGTGATGGTTTGAAAGAGGAGTGAAAGAAGCCATCTATGTCCACTGTGAACGACCATCTTTGAACAGAGGTGGTGGTTTACGACACCAACTGTCTGCCATCTATAATCCAGTTTTGAGATCCATTTCCAGGCGCCTTAACGCCCACTCACATCCTGGGCCATCTGACCTCAGGAAATCACATGATAGGGTGGGGCCAGGTTTCACAGTGAGTTCACCCGAAACATCGGCTGAATGTGACCCACACCCGCTTTCACACCTTAACAAATGTGATTAGATAGAGGATCAACAGGGGGTTCATGACCCTCTAGGGGGACACTCCCATACGGCTTAAATCGGGGACTTTCCACAATTTGACCTTAGAACTAAAGAAGCTTCTCGGATGAGAGGTGAAATGTCTTCAAGTAACTTAAAGAAGTCCAGACGCTTTTCTTTCCAAGCTCAATATACTTAGTCTCTGAATGAATGTGCAGCATTAATGCTTTTGGGCTGGCTTGAGTTTTTAGATGTGAATAAACAGATCTGGTAAGCAGGATGGTCTGTGGAGTTTAGGCTATATTTCTCAGATTTCTTTCCTTCTATGCACTTGTCATTGACTCAGGTGTGCAGATTTTCTTAAATTTGTTATTTGAATAAACTGATCTGGCCACTCAGATCTTTGCATTTGTGCTTGTAGCTCAAAATATGCAGCAGCACTGAATATACAGTGATATGTAAATAGTAAATAATACTATTTTACCTCTGCCACACAGTTAGATTCTGCTCTGGGTCAGTCAGCTTACTGAACCGATTTCTCTGCCTCATCAGATATGATCCCAACTCTGCCAACAACAGCTCAAACGATCCCACTGACATCCAAAAATATGCTGTCATGCAGCTTCGACTCCTGGATCAAACCAGGAAATTCTCTTGATAATTGAATGAACTCAGCGCCACTTTTTCACAACCCGCCCAGCGTGCGATGGCCTTTAGGGTTAGGTTGGATTTCAGCTGCATGCTGAGTCAAATATAGAGAATCTAGAAGATCTTTTAAAGATTTACCTTTGCTTTGTAGTTCATCTAAGATTTCCATTTGAGCATTTCAAACAGGAATTTCTGATTCTAACCCTTACCCTGAACAATTTCATGAGGCCTGATGGACATTAAGAGTTTAAAGTATTATATTTGAAAATGTCTTGAAAATGAACAAGCAAAACTAATCAAAAACCAGTGAGATGATCAGATAAACAGCTGTCTGTCTGTCTGTCTGCAGCTGTTTTGGGAGAAGAGGTTGAAAGGTCTGCGGTCATCAGACGTCACAGAGCAGGTCCTGCGTACCATGGACCTGCCCAAAGGATTGCAGAGTAGGTCTCCAACAACAGCTTGAATCCAGTCCTTCAGCCTGTCTTGACCTCTGACACATCTCTTGATCTCGTTCTCTCATTGGACAGGTGTCGGTCCAGATGCGAGTGACGACACCCTGCTGTCGGCCATCGCCAGCGCTCTGCACATGAGCTCAGCTCCGATTACGGGACAGACGTCTGTAGCGGCTGAGAAGAATCCGGCAATCTGGCTCAACACGTCCCAGCCGCTCTGCAAGGCCTTCACCGTCACCGACGAGCACATCCGGTAAGACCCACAGTCCTCAAACAGTCTTTGTCCCCCCTCAGCTCTCAGTCACTACAAGGCATTCGGCTGATTGTAACCAAAGAGGGAGAAGTGCATGCTTCTCCCTCGGACATGAGCACTTGAAGCCGTGCTAAAATGCTAATGTTTGTGCCAGCTCTCTGTGAACCCAGCTCTAAAGATTAATTTGGAACAGGGATTTTCATATTGAGAGGTGAAAGATACAATCAACACACACACACAGATACACACAGCTTAAGAAGGCAATTATGGTACTTTAAAGCTTTGAGTGTCCTGTTGCTGCATTTTTAGTTGTAATTAGTGCTTCTTGTGAGTCACAACTAATCAGAGTACAAAGACATGATACACAGTGTGACTTACACTTTCCAAGGAGATCATTATCTTTGAAGTCCACTGCAAACAAACATACACAAACATGTTAAGAGCTCCGGGGCTTGTTTAAAAGTTTTCTTCAGTATCAAAGTAATGCAGTGGTAGCTGTCTGTGCTTCGGTGGAAATACTGCAAGCCAGACCTTTTAACAAATAGTAAATTTGGCATGCTTCTTGTATCGTCCGTTTATTTTCCTCCACTTTTCTTATGTCGGCTTTCAGAAGAATATTCCAGACATGCTTCTCCAGCAGAGCTTTTCAGTTCCCATTTGGGGAGATGAGGTGCTCCCCGGCCAGATTAGATATTTAAACCCTTTCCAGCAAGTTCAGGTTCTGTCCCTGGGGGGGGCTCTACTCTCATCTGGGTATGCCCAGAAAACCTCCAAAGGCAGATATCTAGGAGGCATTGTGATCAGCTGCCTGAACCATCTGTGTTGGCTCCTTTCAACACCTAGGAGCAGTGTCTCTACTCCGAATGTTCAAGCTCCTTTCGCATATCTCTTGAGCAACCTGTTGAAAAGATCTTAAAGACATTGCATCCAGACAACTAAACAATGCTGAGATTTGTTTAAAATTGAAAGGAGAAAAGCTGAATTCGCAGTTAATTCAACAGATAAACTAACCTCGAAGCAGCAAATATCCATGGACCCTGTTTTCTGGGCATAATCTGACCTGCCAGTCATTTGCTTTTAACCCTCTGAAGTGTAAATCCTCACATCCAAATCTGAACTCAACCTTAGATTTTGTTGGGAAAACTGACCTTTTTGGGAAAAAGTGAGGAGTTTTTGATGTGTGTCAGGGAGAATCATGATCTTTCCTGGTTGGTGTGAGTTGGGAGAACAATAGAAAAAAGACATACATGTTAGAGAAACAGAGGATTTATGCTTCAGTGGAAATTCTGTGCCACAGCTACGTTGTAACCACAAAGTCCTCTGAAGCCCTGTGACCTAACCCACGGTCTAACCTGACGTACACTTCAGTAGAACAACTGCGGTGATTAACCTGTTCGGTACCAGCAATTGCTCCTGTGTATTTCTGCCTATTTTTTTGCTGCACTTTATGGATTCATCAGTGAGACAATAAAAATCATATCCTCAATGTATAAGCATAAATGCTTTCCATGATGACTTAGATCTGAGGGGGTTAAATCAAATCATCCATTTACGTATAAAGTTGGTTTAAAAGCAAAAGGACATCTGAGCAGCTTGGTGAACTTCTCAGACAACCAGCAGATTTAAATCCAGACCTTCTTTTACTGCTGTACCAACGAGTTCCTCCACATGGTTCACAAAGCATCTCTTTAATTGACATCAAATGCAAAATGTCTCCTTTTTATCACATTCAGGGTGAAACAGGGATCCTGGCAGTTAGCTTAACTTGTCAGCGGGTGGATCAAATGGGTGCGTCTCACATTCCTGCACAAGCAGATTACTTCTGATTGGATCGCTTCCAAACTCGTGCTGCTTTTCTGCACAACTTAATTAGTTCTGAGTGGATCTCGTCATCTGTCCAGAATATTTTCACGTTGTTATTATTTCATACATCATAGTTTTTGTCCTCGTGAATTAGTTTTTATTCATCGTCTCGTGGTCATCAGTACAAAAAGGCCATTGACACAAAAGCTGGTGTAAACATTAAGCACTGACTATCCTGAGGCTTGTGCAAGTCGGTGCACCATGACCCAGTAACATAAATGATATAAACATGTTTTTTTAAAAAACATATTTAAAAAGTTGTCAGCTGATAGGGTAGTCTGTGCGCTTGAGTGATCAGACGGTTTCACAACCAAATAAAATGTCAGATGTGTGAAAGCAAGGCAAAGAGACGTGTTTGCATATTTAACGCAGCGCTGAGGTGTAACTGGGACACCGCGTCTAACACGATTTTAGATTGGATGGCTGTGTACGGTTCAGACCTCAGATCAACAGAAAATAGCTGAGTGGGTAAACATGAATTGGAGAATGGCTGAGCCGAGTAAAGGTCTTCGTAATAGACTCAAAAGAAAGACTTTCACCTTTAACTCTTTCACTGCATTTATATGTAAAGGTGATGTTTCTTTAGCCGGTTAACATCCAAGAAGACATTGGTGACCTTGTTCTGTTCATCTGGTCCAAAATAAGTGATCTTTATTATTGCGTTTAAGAATCAGGAGTCCTGCTTTTCTTGTTTTTGTCACTCAGTGACTCAGAGAAGTTGTATTCATCTTCACCTTCAGTGTGTTTGAGCAGGTTTTCCTCCTGAATGATGAAGCTGTTTTTAGTGGCGATTTATTCTGCACTTCTATTTACTAAAACTTGAAAAAAAAATGTTATCCTTGAACCTTTGTACTTGTGTGAATATTTGCAGAAATTTTAATTGCTGCAAGTGCTCTTAAAAATTCTCTAGTAACTTTTGTGCTGATTTATGTGATTCACTCTTTTTATTACTATGTTTCCCCTCTTACAAATGGAAAAGCTGTAATTTAAAAAAAGGTTTTTTTCTTCTTTTCTCTATTTAGTGCAGTCAGATTTTTCTGCTTCGCTCTCATTCGGCTCAGCATGACCAGCAGCTTATTGTGGCTGCATAACTGACATTTATGACTCTTTAGACCGTCTTTTATCATTTATCAGTATTTCAAATGCTAATTGTGCCCTCAGTTGAATCACACACAGAAGTGACAAATCACACACAGCTCAGCAGAAAGCTCAGAATACACTCAGAATAAAATATTTCAAAATATGACAGTAGCTACAGATCCTTATTGTAGGATAAAGATGCAGACTATAAGCTTCTAACGTTAACGCCATGTGAGTTCCAACCTAAGAGTCTATGTGCAACAGTCATGGACTCATGCTAGCCTTACTTAAACCTCGTTAATTCTTGGTTTTACCCCTAATGGATTGTCACTTTTTCTCACTGGAGCCTCAAAGTGGGCTTTCCTGCATCTGCAGCTAAATTCGTCTTAAGAGATGTTGTCATCACCAGTTTTAAACAGATTGCGTCCATTCAGCTTGTAAGCATCGTCCTTTGATGGACATAAGGCGTTGACGTTCTGCGGGTTTTGTAGATTTAGAAACTCCTCTTTACTTTTTGCACACTTTAAGGGATAGCGTAACAAAGAGAAAACGGGATTTTTTTGTAGTTACAGCTTTGTGTCTCTTCAGGCAAGCTTTGGAAGCCTGAATTTGTCAGTTTTTTCCAATTCGTCCTGACATAACTATTCAAGCTCCAGTGGAACTGGAGCAACCTCAGATCTCACTCCGGTAGTTCTGAGGTTTGTCCGAGCCTCCCAAGGTCACCAGACTTGTTCTTCAGTTGTTCATGTGCTGTTTTGACTGTTTTCCTGGACCTGTCGACTGTGTTTGTGCTGTTATGTTTTGAAGCATTTTTAAGGGAATTAGTGGGTCTTATAAGTACGTGTTTCAGACTATCTAAGAAGTTTGTGCTCCAGTTTTGGTGAGTGAAATTCTAGTATTGTACGAGTCTATTACTAATACTGAACAAATAAACAGATGTCTGTGACTTTGTGTCTGCTAGTGTTAGCTAACAGCTAATCTCCTGTCCAAATATCCCAACTTTCAGCACATGTGGTGGAGATGTCCACAAACCAGTTTAAGCAGGTTTAAGCTCCAGTGTATTAATATTAGTGTACTTATAATTTTATTTAAGCCAGGACAACAAAGATTCCGATTTATTTATTTAGTCTCTATTGTTTTTTAATGATTTTAAATGCTCGTGGGCTTGACATTGTTTATCTGGAACGTGAAGTGGATGTTTATCCCAGTTTACTTTTAATGCTCTTTGAGAAGATACAGGTGTGCTCTCTCTACAGTATAGGCCTGATCAATGTTTTTGGCAGATTCTCCAGGTGTTCAGTCAGTTATGGACACATCTGAAGAGTTATTAAAGTGAAAAGCAGCTGTTTCCACTTAATGTCTCATTAATTGTAGATTGCTTGAAAAGCATATCATTTTTCTAGAATATTTTCTGGATCCACTGTATCAGTACAGTAATGCTTGGTGAGTAGGCTAATACTGTATGAGCTAACCAGTGAGATTGAATACAATTATGTGATGCGTTTTCTCTGTTAGACGGTTATGGCGTTTGATGAGCATAGCTGCGTTTTGTGTGTTAGACATGGAAAAATGTAAATTCTCGCCTTCCAGGATGAGACAGATGAGGGTTGATGACTGATGCATGCTGGGTAGGGGGAGTAATCAGTTGTAGTGAGAGGGGAGGATGAGAAGGTGATGAGATAGGAGACAGACAAGGAGAGATGAGGAGAAATGAAGCATGAAGGGAGTCGAAGGGGGGTGGGGTGGGGGAGGCCACATTGGGAAATTAACATGAAACATGTGATTCAATTTAATATCAAACTGCTAAATAAGTTTTGAGCCAAAAATGTTCAAAGCCTGTTCTTATCTGCTCTGAATGACCTGCATATGGGAGGTTGAAGACATTTGCATTTTAGCTACAGGTCATGATTACCTCCATTATTACTATGATTCCCAGGAAGTATGTGGTTCTTCCTCTACGTGCCAAAAGCTACAGCCTGTTTAATGGCCACTTCAGGTTGACTCCAAAGATGTAGGTAGAAGCTTACAGCCTGATACGAAAAGTGGTTTGATCTCTA